GAACAAATGCTTATCTTTTAAACGTGCCTTGTACTAAGGTACAAGGTACAATACCCGATCTATTGGTCCACAAACAAAAGATGTATTTTTAAGTACAAGACCTACTTTTGCCTTTAAAATAGGCTATTGTTACGCCATTCGTGCTTATTTGCCTCCTCCTGACAAAGCCATTCTCTAGTCGAGCTTGCATCTTCAACAATAAATAGAATGAAAATCTGGATCTGTCATGGTTAATTAGTTACAGGAAAAGAGGTTTAACATACAAACTAGCTGCGTCAGCAACTTCGTCCTCGTTATTTTGGGCGTCCAAATTAGTTTTTGCCAAACTCCCATTTAACAATAAATTTTAGCCTTACGACTTAAGTCGCGTCCCGTCGTTCTTACAAGTTAAAAATAACCTAGAATCTAGAATCATTCTTTAATTAATAAATTCTAAATATTTTTTTGGGCATCTTAAACCTTTTTTGCAGCGTACGCAACAGAAACCGACAAGGTAGAATAATTATACCCCGTTTTTTCCACATTTCCCGCATTTTTTTTTGCTTCTACTAATCACGATAAATGCTGTAATCAACACGAAAATAATCTGAGATTAGCGCGTTCAAACAAAAAAACAAACGAACGAACGAACAAACTCTTCAGCTTTATATATTATAGAAAAGGAGAATTTTAGCATATTATGTCAAAATCAAAATCAAAAATCGTATATCCACGTAAGTAACTAGGTACCTACACTTATGGACGTCAAACCATTTAAAAACTAAAGACTCTTAATTTACATTTACTACGAGTTCTTAAATCAAGGGATGAGAACGAGATTTGGCAAGAACTAGCCACCACTCCCTTTAGTTTTGAAGTTTTATTTCAATGTTTTACGTATAACTAATTTTAGGTTACTGTTAAATAAGGTATTGCCAGTAAAAAAAATAGTTTTCAGTCTTAGGAAGACCAGGTTATTGGAAAAACAAATCTTTGTTTTATTTAAAGGTTAGATTCGATTTGAACTTAAACAAAAGAAAAATAATGCATGTACATGCGTCAGTTCTACATGGGCAAAATCTATTGGTTTACACTTTGTATTACAGCTAAATTCTTATATTTTATGATCCTTACCACGAAATGAGGTTCAATTTTCAGTGGAACCTCATTTATGTGATAAGTAGGTGCAGACTGCAGACTGCAGACACAGTAACCATAGATATAACATAGTATACATTGTATCTCATTAAAAAAATGTATAACCAGTCTGAATTAATACAGTGACGCTAGGCTACATTAATTCGTCTAGACTGCTTATGCACGTGCTATAGAAACTCATTGTTCTAATGAGAATGGCACGTTCGAAAAAAAAGAAAAATACTTCAAAATTCGCGCCAAGTAACACAACCACAATATAAAATCTATGCTTATATTAAAGCTGTAGAGTTCGTTACTTTAAACGCGCTAATCTCTGAAACAGTAGTTTAATAAGCGTTTGAATTTAAAAAAAATGTTAAGACCTTTTCTGAAGAAGGCTTTAGGCCATAATATATATAACATCACACTTTGACTAATAGAAAGAATAGAAATAAGGAAAGAAATATTATTCATCTTTGAGTGCATCGTTGCTTTCGCTACGAAAAGGGTTGAAAACATCCAAAAAATATGTATGAAAGATTCTTGTTTATATAGCATAAAAGATAAAGGCGACAGTATACTCGTATGTCTATCTTATAAGATTAAGTCACAAGAACCATGTTTATGGTAATCAAATGTGGAAATACTTCATATGGCAAAGCAATATTTGCCAGGTCAGCTAGTATCTTATATTTTAAATATGACCATTAGATTTATATTATAACAGTTTATAAAAAAATATAAAAAAAAATTGTTAGACGTTTTAAGCTGACTTCAAAAGGCACGCATAATACTTGCGCGTATGATTTCGCTACAAAGATTATATTTTCCTTAATTAAAGCGAGAAATTCAACACTCTCATTACAAAATGCTGGTTATTTGTTATTTAAATCGAGGTTTTATGTTTTCGGGATGAAACAATAGATGTTTTAAAGGGTCAAACGAAAATGGGAGCATAACTCAAGCTGATTCAGGGGCGAGTAAAAATATTTAAAAAGTTGAATTGATCACGTAATTAACTATGTAATGAAAATATGAGTATTTTTTTAACGTTTATAATTTACGAACTTTCTTTAAATTATTCTATACTAGCTGTGTCAGCGACTTCGTCCGCGAGATTCGTTATTATGGCCATCCAAGTTTTTGCAAACTCCTTCATCTTTGTGAACTTAAGCTGTTACCCATAATGTCGGTCGCGTCCCTTCCCGTCGTTCTTGCAAGTTAATCTTATAAGATCAACATATTGTTTTATAGCCTTATAGCCTTCCTCGATAAATACTCCAACCAACACATAAAGATTTTTTTAGTTCCAACCTGTAGTTCGTGCGATTAGCGCGTTCAAACATACAAACAAACTCTTTAGCTTCATATATTAGTATAATGTATTTAAATACTGCATGTTTACGCGACAGTACACAACCTAGTAATGTGTTTAATTTTAATATAATGTAGGTATAAGAATAAGCCACCACCATAGCTAAATGGTTAACCATTTTGCCTAGCATTGCGTTAAATGCGAAATGTTCCATGTTTAAATCCCGGTGAAGCAATAATATTTTAGTCGAGTAGATGAAAAGTCTAATCAACTACTTGTCTGTAATTAGTGTGTGTACAATCTTCCAGTAAAACAGACACACACGTATGTTTTCCCCGTGCCCAACATGGGATGACGGGAGTATACTTTTTTTTACACTTATAACGTATTACTTTGATTTTTGTACTGAAAAAACTGCAATTTTAGATTGAAATAAATTATGACGTTCCACGATCTTGCAAATAACCAACAATATGAATTTCTCGAAGGATGCTTTTTCCACTCTGACCGCTCATGACACTTATAAGAATGTTTTAAATAGATTATTGGACATACATAGTTGTTTTAATTAATATCTATTATAATTAGGGAAAAAAATATAACACGTTTCATGTTTTGCTAAAAATGTTAATTTCTCAAAGGATACTCTTTGCCACCCCTGACCGTTTTTATCGCTTAGCCCAAATTACGCGACTGTTAAAATGATTTAAACCTAAACGGGCGGATAGCAATCGTCAAAAGTCTGAAGTTTTTATGCCGACGATAAATCTCCCTTTAATGAAATTGGGTAACATGCGGAAAAATAAATCCTGCTTAGCTTGTGTGAGAATAAAACGAGTGAAATATGTATATTATTCTATTCTCAGGGGCAAGATAATTTGGGTTTTATGACGCCCCCCTTCTGGCAACTAAGCTAAAAGTGTTTATTCAGTTAGTATATTTATTAGTCATAAAAAGGATAGCTCGTAATACTTTATAAGATATGCTACCTTTTCTAAGTGGGTAGACTGCAAAGGTGACCTGACAGTATTGTTGTTTTGACTCTGTCTAACTGATGGCAAATGCAACTCATGAATCAGCCGGAATCCTAGCTGAAACTAGGAATAATACTTACAACATTCATGAATTTACTTATTATAAACAAATCTATTTACTTCCTTCGTAAGTTAAAAACTTTTACCATAATAGCACCTCTAAGCTTTTTGCATTTTTAAAGGCAAAACCATGTTTGCAGAAACGCCTTTACGAAGTTTAAAACTATAATAATGATCCGTTGCTGCCACAGACGTTAAAGTTTTTAGAAACTCTTGGAAAACAGCCAACATTATATCCTTGTTAATACAATTGCTCGTTTTACAAGTTTTTATAGTGTTTTTATCATCTTGTAAGAACGTTACAATTACACAAGTTTTTAAACGTGTCATTCCTACTTTTAGACCATCGTTAGATACCTCTAAAGGGAAAACGTAAGTACTATTGATACTATTAATAATATACGTGTAGATTCAAATTAATTACCCAGATTGTGAAAAATTCAGGGCTATAAAATCTGTATGACAATTGTTCATGACATTACATACAACGCCCTCTACGATCAAGCAGTTGAACTTAACGGTACTATTGAAAATTTGAATTGACAATTAATTGGGCAGAAAAATGATGAAATATTTGTTGCACTAATTGGTGAGCAATGCATATCATGGTCATGGCTGGGTTTTTTCTATTATTCCTTTAAAGAGATTTATGGTCGCTGCACGTAGGTTACTCGAATTCTAGAGTGTCTACTATTATATTCTATATATTAAATGCGAAAGTAACTCTGTCTGTTACTCTTTCACGCCAAAACTACGGAACGGATTTGAATGAAATTAGGTCTAGACCCTGAGAAAGGACATAGGCTTTTTATTGCGAAAAGGGAGTTGTAGGGGGTTAAAAGGGTAGGGTAAAAGTTTGTATGGAAGATCGTGGTTTATGAAGCTAGAACTATGAAACTTTCTTGTTTGCCTTTTTTGGGAATAGGTGTGGGAATGGGAGTGGAATAAAAGTGAGAGTAGGAATGATGTGAGGTGAGAGTGTTGCGGAAAAGTAGCACTTACAACATAGATTAAAATTTAGCCCTTAAATACGCCCTTACATAAATTAAAAAACATAATTAAAAATTCTACCCCAACTATCATCAAATTAATAAAAATGTCTTAATATACTGCACATTTTAACTTAGGAAAAACTTATTATTAACTAATTACACTTAAAAACAATTTAGTCGATTATTCAGATAATCGATCTAAAACACATTTCAAATTCCTAATTGTTTGACATTGACAGTGACAGTGACAGTTTATAAATATTATCATTCAAATATTTACAATTGTGTATTTAATTTCTTCTTCGTAGGTAAATTCATATTTTCAGAACCAATTTAAAATTGCACTAAGTTATCACTAGATCTTCTGTAAACATTAATACTACTTTAATTTAAATACTGTTTGTAGTTTACGCAAGTAGTACACATTTATATAAAACACTACTGCACTACATTAATTTGTTTCTAGTCCAAGCCCTTTATAATATGGACAGTAGCGAAGGTTTGGATGATAAGGACAGCGGTCCCGAAGTTCAACTGAACTTTCCAGCGTCAGTGATGAGCAGAATTGAGGAGTTGATGGGTGGAACAGAACAGTTTGACAGTGATGAAGTATGCATTTAAATATTTAAACTAACAAGTTGTACAATACAGAGAACTGAGTGAGTAAACAATTTTTTTTTCAGTTTGATGCTGTATCTTACATTAACAAAGTGTTTCCTACGGAACAATCTCTGTCTGGTGTGGAGACAGCTGCAGCTAGATGCGAGTTTCATCTAGCAGCTGTCCAGCATGACATAAGACGACTTGTACAGGCTCAACATGATCAGAGAATATCTGGACATGAAGCTCTTCTTGAAGCACGGAAGTGTATCTCTGAGTTGGCTTTGCAAGTATGCTTTTTATTTCTAAGTATATTATGTACATTAAACATTTTTTTTTCAAATAATAATGCAAAATGTTTATACTGTCTTATTATATGTTTTTTAAATATAAATTTGCATGTAATTCTTCTTGCTTATTCATTTATCTGTTTATGTATTATAAAATAGTTGGGAATTTAAGATTTCAAAGTTTTGTATAATTATCTAAAATACTGTAGTCATTTAACTTTACAACAATTCCTTGAAAATGTATGTTATTAGGTTACAGATATAAACAAGAAAGCAGAGCGAAGTGAAAGTATGGTTCGTGAGATAACATCTGAGATCAAACAGCTTGACTGTGCCAAATGGAACTTAACCGCTGCTATCACTGCACTGAACCATTTGCACATGTTAGTGGGCGGGGCTGCTGCATTACGCACACTAGCACAGAATAGACAGTATAAAGAGCTGGTATTGCCACTTCAAGCTATTATGGAGGTAAAAAAAAATATTTTGTTTTTTTAAAATTATGACACTATTATTTTCGTAATCATGAGAACGGATGGGGTTTTGTTACAAAAGACCATTTAATATTGAGATGGATTGGTACACATTGATACAATGGATATTTTTTAACTCTGTGATATCTGTGGCAACAATTACACTATAACAGGGGATCACTAGTTCTTTATGCTTTGAAGTCTGCCATACTTGTTGTGTTCTTTTGCCAAGTTATGAAAATACACTATAGGTGGATAGTCCAATGTTAACTGTAACTCAGCCCTCTCCCAGATACTCAAAGGTACTTAAAGCCTCTATATTTTTATAGGTACTACAACACCTAGAATGCTATCGAGATATTCCAGAACTGAATAAATTGCGAGATGAATTGCATACAATTCGGGCTGACCTTGCCACGCAGATATTGGCTGATTTCAAACAGTGTTTTACTGGTGAGTGAATACAATTACTAATTGTAACTATATTTGAGGCTGCTAGCGGCAGAATGGTCTTATAACAAAAAACATGATGATTTTATAAGTAGGTAAATATAAATGCGCAATTAGCTTAGACTTAAATGTATTTGTACTATTATGTCTGTAAGAATTATGTTAACAGTTTTTGGTCACTGTGCTCTTGTAGACTAACATTTTTGGAGTATGATAGTGTAAATAACAATAAAAATTGCAGTTAGGCTATGCTGCCTCTAGCAGCCCCATTTGATAACTTATTCATATAAGTATTTATTTGCTTACAAAACTAAGTGTATTCCTATCATAAACCAGACAGTTTTGACTTATTATTTGTCACACAATTATGATTTTCGTAAGTGCCCATGTCCACTTTTGGCCTGGAATAGACCCTTTTTTTATACTCATAAATTCAATAGATTAGGTGCCAATATCTGTTCTTTTTCTTAGGTGGAGGCAAAAGTGGTGTATCTCATCGTACACTGAGCGAAGCGTGTGGAGTGGTAGACGTCCTAGACCCTAAGGTCAAACAGGATCTGCTTAAATGGTTCATATCCCTTCAGCTTCAGGTGCGATAAAAGATCTTATCTTTATGTATTGAATTTTTTAAGACATAACAAAAAAATAATTCATACCTTAGTAGATATATTTACCTAAAATACACAGGAGTGTTTGTTGGGAGAATAGGTGTTTTGATATTTGTTATAGATTAATTGGCGTTAAAATATAAGGGCCTATTATTTCTGTTTCTTGGTGTTTGATAAATTAAAGCTTTCCTTGATAAACGCTCTAACCAACACAAAAAGGATTATTAAATTCGAACCAGCATTTCCTGAGATTAGCACATCCAAACAAACTCTTCAGCTTTGTAATATTAGTATAGATACTGATATACACTATCCTGTATTTAATTGTACTTTGAAATTTATAGGAGTATGAGCACCTATTCTCCAGTGAACAGGAACACGCTTGGCTTGCGCACATCGCTCGTCGTTACGCTTGGCTCAAACGACATCTCTTATCTGTGGAACAGAGCCTTGCCAACTTGTTCCCAGCACCATGGCGGCTCAGTGAGAGAATTGCGCACCAATTCTGTAAGGTAGAGTAATGCAAGTGTAAATAAGTGATATAGGGCTCGAGTCCTGCCCATGTTAAATATGTTTTAAATTCCATAATTTATTGCATATGTGAAAATGTTTCGAATGTTAACCTTATTTTTTTAATCTTTATGATAGAGAGGGACAGACCAGCTTTAGGTTTTCTTGATAGAGGCTGAAGTACCCCAGCAATGCAACACCTCATTTTTATTTTTATAAATTATTTTAAATGTCTATGTTCTACTTCGCTGTAAATATAATTGTGCAATAAAGAATTTTATTATAATAAGCTCAAAATGATACGCAGGTCGATCTATTTAGGCTGTGTATATTTCGAAATCCACAGAACAAAACTTCACGGTGTTATTTGTGGATATGGTGGTTTGTAACCCGGATGGAATTTCGATATTCCTATTTAATAGCCAGACTTCCAAACGAAGTGCAGCGTGTTTCAGAGCAATTATAATTTAATTTGAAACATTTGGCCATGGCCATGAAACATATCGATTATTAGCCATACGATGCTACCATTATTACTTTCTTTCGGCGACACTGATAGAAGACCGGGGTGATCAGTCCACATCTTCTGTTGACCATTTCCTTTTGCCGCCTTCGCAGAGGATTTCGGGTTATCCAACTCTCAGTTGCCAAATGGTTACCTTTTCAGATAACTCGGGATAACCTCACGTCTCTCATGTCTACGCGGCGCAATGAGCTGGATTGCAAACTTCTTTTGTATGCGATTCAACAGACGCATAACTTTGAACTCCTGTTACATAAGCGGTTTATTGGTAAGTATGCTATTTGCTACAGGTGCCATTACCTTTGGAGAGACAGTCATCGGGCCTCGTCTGCTTCATCATAGTCGGTCTATGCTCTAAACCTTCCAATCTATGAGAGAGTGGACCTGTGTTTTACTGTACGATATTAATACGTTGAAGCGAATGTAAAACATGTTTTACAAAAAACCGAAATTAGTCAGAATAAAATTATACAGCTGTATTTGTAGCACTAAGCACACTTCCTTCCAGTTGTGTTATCTTCCTTTCAAATATTTAGTAAAAGAAGAAAATTTGTGATGAAGGCTTCTTGGGCTAAAATCCTTGTTTCAAGTAATGCCCCACCCTTCCACCTCTCCATTGGCTAGCGAATCAGTAATGTCGGTTTCCCCTTTTGGCATTATAATAAAATATTTAATAAACTTTTAACCTTAATTGATCAGTATCTATTTATTTGTACATGGCGTTTAAAGATAGTCACAATATCATTAATATAAGTAAAATCATTGTTAGGGATAAAAAAATTTAAACATATAAAAAATCTAGTGTACAATAACACGTGTAATGTCTTGTCTTGTACATACATGTTTAAGTCGGGAAATTAACAAGTAAACCGAGGAAGTCACACTTTTTCTTCTTAAATTCATGTATACAGCTTAAATGCATTTAAATCTATAATATTAATTAATAATTAAAATTAAAGCTTTTTAAACATTTCGTGTTTAACTATTGATATTGTTATAGTGAGAGGGTTATTTTTAATTTTACAAAGGCACAGTATGTGGAAGTTATAACGCAAATGTTTTATGTGGCAATCTTGTTTCAGGCACTGAGCTAGGCTCAGAAACAGTGGAAACACACAACAACAATGAAATATCCTTTGAAGAATATATTGAGGTAATACTGGCGATGGTAACTAACTTTTTCATAATAATAGTTTATTTAATAAATTAACTTTTTTAGCAGAATGTAGAAGATATGACGTCACAAAAGAGCCCGTGGGTGGGACTTGTCGGGGGTTGCTTTGAAGCACATCTCTCGCTGTACATAAGTAGTCTTGATACTAATCTACGATCGCTGATGGATCGATTCATTCAGGTAAATATATTTATAAAATATAATGTGCCAGCATTAACATTGTATTGCCAATAAAAAAACAAATACAACCACTCATACAACACCACAGAACTCATACAAGTAAGATATAAGATAATTATATGTATAAATAAAACACTTTAACGGTTTAAAACGCGAGCTGTAAAGCATCTGAAACCTTAGGTAGTAGTTAATATAATTTGTAAATACGTTCAACTAATACATTACGCGTTTTAAACTATTGAAAGTGTTTTATTTAAATGTGTACTCATCTCGTAAACTGTAGTCTAAGTTGCGATAAGGTTTACCTAACATAAGGTTTAAATCTTTATCCAGGAAGCAAAATCCATGGAACTTAGTGATACAGCAGAAGGAAGCGGGTCAGGTGGGGTTTTGGCAAGTTGTGCCGATTTGTTTCTATTCTACAAGAAGTGTTTGGCACAGTGCGCCAGACTGTCTACTGGGGAACCAATGCTAGGTGAGTGACATGGAATAAGGAAAAAAAACGAATGTTTTAAAGTACCGATAGCACCAAATTTAAATGATGTAGTAATTTTTAGGGGTATGCACTATATATCTAAAGTCTCCGGGACATCTAAAAATATATATTATTTTTCTTTATATGCAATTCTTCCAGCTAGAACTACAATTACAAATTATACACAAAAACAAACTCACAAGTCACAGTCTTTAAAATGCCCTCAGCGAGGATGGTTTAATATATTTTTATTATTATTATTTTTTAACGGGGACACCTGTAGAAGGCCCGGTTGAACAGTCCGCACTATCAGCTAACCATTTCACCCCTCGCTGCAAAGGTTTTTTTGTTATCCAACTCATTCTAGTACATCTGTTTATATTGAGGGTGCAGGTTGGTGTGTACGGTCCTGTGTGTGTGTGTGTGTGTGAGTGGCTGTATGTATGTAGTAAGGTATGCGTCAATTAAAATATGTTGTCATCATAAAATCATGATATCACTGTATTGTTGTAGAGTTGGCGGGTGTTTTTGGGAAGTACCTTCGTGAGTATGCAAGCTGTGTACTCCAAAGCGCATTACCTCGAAATTCTGGATCTAACGCCAGCGGAAACTCCACTGTGAGCCTCTCGACGGTCCCAAATATAGTCACTAATCTTCACACATTCCTAAGAGATGACAGCACTGTCAGGTAGCTTAACAAATCTTCACAGCATTTGTAACAAATTTCTAGGATTGAGCGATTTACATTACTGTGATTGATAAGTCTTGCTCAAATCTACTGTCTAAATAATATAGGTTGATTTACAACCTTCGGTTTCCGATACTTGAGTAAGTAGAAAAAGATTCTTGGATACGACTGGCCTACTACGAAGATTTAAATAAAATATTTTAATGATTTAAAACGCGATATATTTTCTTTAAACTTATTTACAAATTATTTAACTTCGACTTCGGCTGCTTTGAGCAGCCGTGGTCAGGAGACTGAGTAACTAAGTTTCTAGTATTTCGCGTTTTAAACCGTAGAGTGTTTTATTTAAATGTGTAGTACACGCGTACTATAGACAGTATTTTACTACGAAGATGTCTCATTTTAAACCATATAAAGTGTTCAGTAGTAGATTTGTGTAAGACTTGTAAACTAGTTATTAAATTGTATAATAATATTTTGAACTTAATTTATCTGCACTTTCAGATATACAAAACAGGAAATAGCAAAAATAACAAGCGTTATCACCACCTCGGAATACTGTCTTGAAACAACTGTCCATCTCGAGCAGAAGCTAAAAGAAAAAATCACTCCTACCCTGGCTGAAAAGATAGACCTGGGCCCAGAACAGGATCTATTCCACAAGATGATAAGCACCTGCATTCAGCTTCTCGTTCAAGATCTGGAGTTGGCTTGTGAACCGGCTTTACAAGCTATGACGAAGATTTCCTGGCTTCATTTCGACAATGTTGGAGATCAAAGCTCCTATGTCACACAGATCATTATGCACTTAAAGAACACAGTTCCTATCTTACGGGATAACCTTGCATCTTCGAGAAAATACTTCACTCAGTTTTGCATTCGGTTCGCGAATTCCTTCATTCCAAAGTTCATACAAAATGTTTATAAATGCAAGCCCATATCTACAGTTGGATCTGAGCAATTGTTGCTAGACACACATATGCTTAAGACAGCATTATTAGAACTACCCTCAATTGGCTCTGAAGTGAAGAGGCAAGCGCCCACAACATACACTAAAGTGGTGATCAAGTTAATGACTAAAGCTGAAATGATCTTAAAGCTTGTTATGGCTCCATTAGACAATAATTTGGACGGTTTTGTATCTCAATTTCTGCAATTGCTTCCAGAAAGTACTATAGCTGAATTCCATAAGGTTTTAGATATGAAGGGCGCTAAGCTATCTAAGACCCAACTTGGCGCGCTTGATGCCCTGTTTAAAGAAACCTCGAAATCAAACAGTGAGATTAGTAAATAGTTCTAGGACATATAATGACTGTGAAAGTATCTATTATTATAATATAAATTAGGTTTTACTCTTATTATACACATATGAAATATTTAAAGATAAATATGCTATTTCATATAGTTTTATTTTACACTGTCTGTAACTTTTACTTTAGTTATGATTGGCCATCAACCTACTGTGCCAGATTAAAATAAAACTTTTATATTTTCACATGTTATTGCACATAATGACACTATAAAATTAAAAATCAATTTAAGATTAAAAAAAATTACAACACGGGCACTCTTGAATCGGAATACACAGCGTTCCGTACGAAATGGGTACATTTTTTTCAGTCTAAAATCGATTTTTAATTTAGCAAACTTGTTTACAAAACAAAATCGGCAAGATTGCTTATATTCCGATTTCCGGTCATAAATCGAACCTAAAATGTAAAAAAAAGACATCTCTACTGCCGTCATTCAAATTGAATGTCAAAACCGATCTGTCAGTGTCAACGTGCGCATTGTTATGAGCGGACGCGGCGCTCGCGATTGTATTTACAAATATGAAATTACCGGTTCGAAAATGTTATTATGTGGCAAAAGTTAGCATATTCTTAATATTAGTTTGTTTGATACTGAGTTTATTCGAACACTGGCGCGGAGGTAAGCGAATAGTTAAGGCAGATACCGAGGATCCCAATGCGGAGCTCGAGAGAGAAATTCTTGACGATGAGAAAAGAATTATCCCTGGTTTGGGAGAAGGTGGTGCCGCGGCACATTTGTTCGGTGAAGCGAAACGCCTGGGAGAGGAATCGGAAAAAAAATTAGCCATCAACGTGTATCTAAGCGATAGGATCCCGTACAATCGCAGTTTGAATGGTAAGTACAGTTAGTTTATTAATTATTATTCTGCGCCCGCTGGCGCCTGGCGATACTCAATAAACACGTAATTTATCTAGTATTATACATAATTACCGTTTCCATAGCTTAAGTAGCTATGCGTTAAGTACGACAGGTCCTGGGTTAGAATACCGTTGAAAATATAAATTGTTTCGGTCTTGTATGGTAAAGAACTCTGTTTAATACTTACACAAAAGTATGTAACATATAACAGTATTTGCTACATGCCCCACAAAAAATGGGATTTCACTTTTATATCTTTAGTCTTCACTATTAGATATTTAAAGTTTTCCTTAAAAACATAACTGAACATTTAAACACCACTAACCAACTTAAAACATATTTGCTGCAAGATTAACTAGTTATTTGTTTTAACAACTGAATAATGTAAAAAAATTTCAAGCTTAAAATCTTTGTTAAAACTTTTAGATCATAGAAATCCAGCTTGCAAAAGAGTCTTATATGACGCTGAACTGCCCTCAGCATCAGTTATTTTAATATTCCACAATGAACCATATTCTGTGGTGATACGGACTATATGGAGTGTAGTTAATAGTGCAAGACGTGACCAGCCGTGGTATAGAAGAGCTAACTTTGTGGACAGAAATACTGGAGCCACAATGAATTTAGGTGAGTTACAGATTTACTTAAATGTTTACATAACGTCAGTATGGATTGATTGGAACTTTCATAAAATATTACCAACCATACAAGAAGAATTAGTGTGTTAGTATTTGAAAATATTTGTCTAATTTCTTTTTTTGAAACTGATTTGTCATAATTAACTAAATAGCTTATTTAAATAAAAATATTATATTGCTATATGGCAGTTGTACATATGCATCAGCGTAGTGTGTGATTCATTTAATTATAACGAAATTGTAATCACAATAAATTTGTTAACATATTGGAAGCATATTTCGTTCGTTTTACCAAGAAAAAAAAAAAAAAAAAAAACCAAATTTAAAAATTTTAAAAAAAAAGGTTTTAGATTTTAACAAATGTTACTTATTTTAACAAAACTCTCATATTTTTTTTCAGGGTATCCAGGACAGGACCCTTCATCACCCTTTGTATATCTAAAAGAAATTATCCTCGTAGATGATAATTCTACACTTCCTGAATTAAAGGGTAAACTAAGCCATTACATTCGAACAAGACTACCTCCAGATCTCATAAAAATTCTAAGACTGCCTGATCGGTAAGTACCTTTAGTTATTTATATATTTATAAGCAGTACGACATATAAATTTCTCATTCTGTGAATAAATGTTTGTGGAATTCAAAATAGTCTATTTTAAATTTTTTTTACATCTGACAATCCATTTAGGTGTGAAACGGTAACCAACATCTGAACAAGTTTTCTAAATAATTTAGGAAGGGTAGGATATAATTATTTCAATGTCTCAGGGTAGGTGTAACTCAAGCTCGTTTTGCGGGTAGTCGGGTAGCAGTGGGTGACGTCATGATTTTCTTAGACTCGCACTGTGAAGCGAATGCTGATTGGCTAAGACCACTGCTTCAGAGAATAAAAGACGAACGAACCGCCGTACTCACACCCATTATAGATATGATACAACAAACTACATTTGAATATCAAGCTGGGGACAGGAATTTTGAGGTTTTAACTTCGATTTCAAAGACTTTTGGGGATAGTTTCAAATATGGCAGTTCCTAGACTTTTCTTTTAGCGGAACTGTGTAGTTAATACAATTCGTAGTGTTTCATAAATCTTAAATAGTATGAGTTTATAGAAGGTGTGTTTTATATAGAATACATATATACATTGTGTGTAGTTTGCAGTGATGTAGTATTTTTAAATAGATTCGATATTATAATCGCTACCTTTATGACGAACACTATATGTTATTAAAAGTAATTCAACATTTTTTTTTCGAAAACCTTGATGCTTACTGCAAGTACGTCTGAGAAGAAAATCGCCTTTTTACGTATATCGCGATAAGGCGATCTTTCGTGCGGCTTATTGGCCACCTTCGACTAATTCTTTGTTTGGTTTGCAATAAGCATCGTCAGTCGCCGCCATGTGTTGCAGTAGGCTATTTGACAATGCGAAAAATATAACGTTTTAAAGTTTATAAATAGTAAAAGAGTTACTTATGTTAAAAATAATAATTGATTAAAATAAAATATCGAAATAAAAATTAAGTTTTTTCAAACTTTTGTCACGAGACACAAACGCTCCTGATTGGCCGGGTTTATGACGACTTCACTTGCTTCTAAATCTGCACTTTGCGGTAAATGTCAATCGCTAGATGCGTCGCGCGAATTTTCAGTCTTTAGTTTCTATCAAATGTTTACAGTGTAGGTTTGACCCGCGCACGTCTGGCGGGCGCTCGTTATGCCGTTGGCACAGTTCTGGTCTTCCTTGACGCGCATTGCGAAGCGCAGAACGACTGGCTTCGGCCGCTACTGCAGCGGGTCAAGGAATCTCCTAACGCGGTCGTGGTGCCAATCATAGACGTCATAGAGGCGTCCAATTTTTATTACAGCGTACAAGACCCCGTCGTCTTCCAGGTTGGGTTCATAAAAAATTGGTTATATGCACCTTTTTTGTGTTTCACACATCTTGCACTGTAAAAAGACAGTTTTGGATTTTGCGCACTGTATAAAGTTAAGAGCAAATTTCAATTAAGGTGTAATTCTCAGTTTATTAAATATTTTGAGTTTTTATTTATTTATGTATTTACTTAGGAAACTAAACAGTTCGTCTATTATGATAAGTTAAAACTAATATTCTTATTATCTAGGAAAAAAATATTATAGAAATCTAAATGTATGTAAGCATGTACTCGGAGACAGTAAAGTACAAGTAAAGTTTTATTATATTTCTGTTTTAAATACCAATATTTATTAACTAAATATAAAGAAAGCTATATAGCGAGTTTATTAGAACTACCTATTGGTTCATTTAGAACCTACTGCGGGGTTTTCAGAAGCGCAGTGGCAAGTAAAGGTAAATTATAACACGCCAATAGTCGCTAACTGTATCAGTTACAAGTGACATAGTTAGCAATTACAGTTAGCCTAACGTTTATTACTTAGCTGAGAATTCCCCACTTAGCTTAAAAATTGGTGGATCGTAATTTTATTTAATGTTAACGCTTACGTCTGTATATAGCTCTCTACGTATTTTACAAAAGGCCCCGAAAAGGTAGTACGGGTTGAACGAAATTACTAGTCATTGCCCCCCCCACAATCATCAGTACTTATTTTTTTAATTTCGTTCTCAAACGACTTTGATATCGCGATATTTACAAACATTCAAGGCGCTGAGAGACACGTGCCCAAACGTGTGTATACGACTATGTTGTTCTTTGATCACGCGTAAAATGGCTAATCGCTACTGTTTTGCTATGCACAAATGACACGTAGCAATGCTTTTTTATAACAATTAGAATATTTTACGCTGCTTGGGCTACTCTCGCTATCTCAGAAACAGATTCCAAAGTTTATTTTTTCTTTACTAGCAACTACAGCCAAAAAGAATAGTGCTTCTGAACATCGTGTCCTACGTCAAACTCCGTTTATCTTAAGTTTAGTTTAACTGATCAAAGTTGTGGGATTATTGAGCCTAAAACAAAAATATTACGATTTTATCAATTTTTTAACAACTTTGATGTTAAATTAAACATTTATTTGGCTTGAAAAAAAAATACGAACAGGGCAGGACTTGAATCAGCAAAAGAAAGTCAGCAAAAAAATTAATATAGGTTTTTTTTTTCTAAAAAAGCTCTGCTCTGTATGTAGTGTTCTACGAAATTGCTATTTTTATAGTCTTATAAAGTGTGTATGGTGCCTGAAGATGTACCAAATTACATCCCAAAGCTTGAAACAAATTTCTATAAATGTGCGAATGTAACAATAAATGTAAACTCTTAAGTAAAACTGCGACGGTCAAAAGTGCATAATATATTAGTGATTTCTTTATTACAATTTAATTCTTATATTTTACATCGGCCACCAGGTGGGTACGATAGGTTCCCCCTTCTCCTCTCGTGGAGCATGGGCAAACGCATTTTTATGGGCGTTTCATTGATCAGTTTTTACGGGCAAAATGTATTGTTTCTCTCGCATTTAGGACCTACGTTTAACCATTTAGCTACAGGTACCATTACCATGGGCGCTGTTAGGCATCAAAAAATTCTATTCAAATTAAATGTCTTATATTATCGTTATATACCGTTAAAAGTGTTTTATTTAATGAGAACTCTCGTAAACAATTATAAAATGTTTGAAATTAAATTTCTTATTTAAAATACTGAAATCACTTTAAGTTATTAAGATTTTCACGGTAAAATCAGTTTAATACGGCAATCTGTAAATGTTTGATTGATACGAATCAATTAGTAACGCGCGTTACCTTGTTACTGTACATTTATATGTATTAAGTTTTAATCGGATGTTTCAGGACCTTACAGATATTTTATCAAACAGAAACAATCTTAGTTTGGAAAAATATTTTAAAGTTAGGCCAGATTTTTAAATAAAAATTAACCTAAATAAATGCGTAAGTGAAGGGGGGTCTTGGATTGATTCGCGGGAAAATTTTTTTTAGTCGGGCAGGGTATAAGTCTAATCAAATATACCAGTGAAACAGACACATAAATGCTCTTATATCGTACTAACTACTCATTTTAACAATGAGCACAAATCTATTAATATTTAGAAAATAAATACGAAACGGGTGGCACTTGAACCGGCTTCCACAGAGTTTGGGTAAAAAAAGGGAAAAAAATTTCACGATGTGAAATTATTCAAGTGCCGTCCGTGCCTTAATTTTTTTGAAATCTTAATACCTTTTCGTTCATACATTGCCATCGTGTAAATAATATTACAATGATCAAAAATGAAACAATCAAACTTCGTGAACCGACTGAGATTCTGTCAACGTTCCCAGCCTGTTTTTGAACACCTAATAAATAAAAAAGGCGGTGCCTTATTTATTATACATGCCCTTCATCTTCAGCCAAAAAGACTTTGTGAAGCGACTGGTAGTCTATCAATGTTTCAGCTTCTATTTATTTCAGATTAAAATAAATAAAATTAAATACACTTTATTCTCTTTAAATTTAAAAAAAATATTTAGATTCGTCAAATTTTTTTTTCGTTTGTCTGTCTGTTCGTCGTGTTTCTACAGAGTGTTCAAAAGAGCAACATAACTGAGAAGAAGATCCAAGAAACTCAGTCCGGCTTTTTTAAATATGTCTTATAAACTAATACATTTTTGAAAATTTATTAACCTAAGGAGCAATTCATGTTACTGCTAGGCGGTCATGTCATTAAAGAAATCATTTAGACAATAATACGCCTTTTGAGACAATCTAAGTTTTATAACTTTCTTAAATTTATTTATCGATAAATTTGAAATCTCGACATACGAATACAATTCCCCGCAAATGAATTAGATATTTTATGGAGCCTATATTTGGGGATAGCTAGTTTATCCTTACTACATAAAAAAGGGCCCTAATTACAGTTCATGAACCGACTAACGGTCTGTCAACGTCATCTGTCTATTTTAAAACAGACAATAAATAAAAATGGCGGACACTTATGCCATCTTCATCTTTAGGCAAGGCCTTATGCGTGCTCGTATAACTGGAGCGCGCGCCGCTCGAGGTGACGTCTTGATATTCCTCGATGCCCACTGCGAAGCCAGCTCCGATTGGCTCAGGCCGCTCTTGCAGCGGATCGCGCACAAACGCGACGCGGTTTTGACCCCATTAATTGACGTCATCGATCAGACCACCTTCCAGCACGAGGCGGCCGAACAGTTCCAGGTTACGGCTCATGCCGCGTTTACAAAGAGCATGCCAATATTAAGCCGTCTCACTGTACTGTATCATGCTATGCCCGTATAAAATACGTGAAACCTAAATTCAACTTAGGGATAAGAGGAGTGGCGGCGAGTTTCTTGCCAGATCTTCTCGTTAGTTCTACGTCCTTGATTTGGGAACTGTTAATTGTTAATTTAAAGTCTAGGGGGATTTTGATCCTATTTTACAACCCCCCTACAGGTCTTTTATTGACGTCATTACTTCTTATAAGATGGTATACCACATTATTAAATAACAGTACCAACGTGACTTTTGTTTTCAATATAAAATAGATGATTACTTATGTCGGGCGTTCAAAGATGAACTCTTATTTTTGTTGATAAATAAAAAAATTAAAACCAAAAGAAACTCTATGAAGCATCTAGCTCAGGTGAAAAATCATTAAATAAGAATAATAATAGATTTTTTAATTAGCATCAATTTAGTACACTAAATAATAAATAAGATTACAATAAAAAATAACTGTCTTTAACATACAGACAACAAATAGGGCTCTAATATTAGAAATGCATATTGTAAGAAGTGTAACGCTTTATGTAAGCAAACAGCTGAAATACAATAAATTACAACAATTTCATTGATCAGATCAGAGCTAGGCTTTATTTTTTTAAGTCATAGAATGATATAGTACAGTGGGACAGCGACCTTGTGGACTTCAATATACCAATATCTATTCGGCATGTACTAACGTTCCATAAAAAGAAGTTATTAACAATCTCGCCGTGCACTTAGGAGAATTATAATGCCTGCATGTTAGGTGAAGGGAATGTATTTTTAATCCTTAGGACCGGTTTTGTATATTACTTAACTAACTAATTGTATGGGTCACTACTATTCGTTTGTTTTTTGATTAACATAGTTTTGTTTAGGGTCTGTTTCACCAACTCAAGATAAGTATTGGTTAGTTCTTGATATAAAGTAACAAAGTCCATGAATATCTTGGAATCTGTACTTGTCTTTTGGTGAAAAAGACCCTTATGGTCGAGTCTCCAACAAGGCAGAGAATTTTTTTTATCACCTTTGCTGATAGAAATGCTCATTATGAAATACATGTCATTTCATTAATTCAAATTTACCGCGCTTCGTTTATAAGTTGTCACCGAGAGTCGGTAGAGGGCGCAGCTGGCCCGGGTGGCGTATAAAAAAAATAATGCGTTTATTTTGAGATTTGTATGTGCATTATATTGTGTTAAACCTTAGAAAGATAATATTGAGGAATCGATATAAGTAAATTTTAAAATGTCGTTTCTTTTTATTTTCTTATAGACCGACTGCAGTTAGAATTAATTATGATATCCCAAATTTAATTGCCCCCATCTACTTTTAATTAAGAAGATGAACGCGATAGGGGCTCTCCCCCTTACACTTAAATTTGGCGTTACTTAAAGCACACTCGGGTCTTGTTGCACCATACAAATTTAACGCATCTCGTCTTCGCTTTGGTGGAGTTCCGGCCTTAAGTTTTGTACATCTAGAGATCGTTGCTATGTAGTACTAACTTGAGTTTTGCTAGATGTACTAGTCTGGTAGATATGAGCCCGCTAGAGTCAGAAGAGCCGTACTGAAGTAGTATGTCATGACTTGACTTATTTATATTTTTATAGTCAAAAAATGTTAATCTACAAGAGCACAGTCACCCAAAAATTGTTAACATCATTCTCACACAAATAATAGTACAAATTCATTTTGGCCTAAGTTAATTGCGCATTTTTATTTTCCTCCTTATTGAAAATCATGGTTTATGATAGGCCACTCTTCCTCTAACGGCCTCATATTAACTACTAACCAAAGGTTGCATAGTGTATATGTTATGATAAATCGTACTATTTTGTCATTATTGTTAGTATTGATATATATGTGTTATTAGACGCCAACGTAACCTTGAAACGTTGGTTGTAGATGATAATTATATAGGCCATTGTTAATCCCTAAGCAAGGTTTTGTACGCGCAGGTAGGCGGTTTCACATTTATGGGCCATTTCACATGGATCGATGTACCAGAGTGGGAGAAGAAACGAAGAGGTTCCGACATAGCTCCGACCTGGTATTTTTTTTATCTAATCCATATTACACGGTTCTTTTTTCAAAATATTTTTGTTTTGTAAATTTTCAAACAAACAACTCTTTTATCTATACCTGTGATTCCCAAAGTGGTCTATATCTACCCCTATGGGTCTATGACAACCTGCGAGGGGTCTACGTCAGAGAAACGCATACACTGATAGTACCTATTTACTTACACCATACCATCTTATAATATAAAAACATATACATTATTTATAAAAGTACCTATGAAGTAAAAAAAATATATAAAATTGTGTAAGTTGTAGAAAAAAAAAATATTTTGAGTAGTTTTATAATTTTATGTATTATGAAATGTGCAACAAATTTTGATGCCCAAAATAACTATTCTACGCGGACGAAGTCGCTGACACAGCTAGTATATAGATGTGGTATTAGATATTGACTTTGATTAAACACTTTTAACGGTTAAAAACGGGAAATATGTCAGTTAACTCATTTTTAATTTGATTAAACTACGGCCTGCAAATCATCCGAGACCTCAGGCTAACTCAAATTTAATTGAAAAATAAGTCAACTAATAGGTCACGTCTTAACCCGTTAAAAGTATTGTTTATTTAGATGTGCACTACTCGCGTATACAACGGATAGCACTTATGTTAGGTTGTAACTATATATGCCTTCGTCTTATGTACCAGGTCACCAACAATGGCTGGAGGTCTCTTCGCTATAAACCGTCAGTATTACTGGGAGTTGGGTGCTTACGATGAGCAGATGGCTGGCTGGGGCGGTGAGAACCTCGAAATGTCTTTCAGGATATGGCAATGTAAGTAACAAGATATAAATTATTATAAAACAAAAACTATTGAACAGGTTTACTTATTGACGTATACGGGTCTATTTTTTTTTTATGATAGAGGTGGATAGACAAGCATCAGAGTCACTTGATGATAGATGGAATATAGCATCTAAACAAAATGCGCCGTTGACCTATTTCGATTTTGAATATAAGGAAATCCACAGACTGAAACCGAAACACGATTAAGCTTTACAGTTTTTTAATCTGTGCACGGTTTTTCGTGACGCGGACGGAATTTAACATTTCTACCATCCATTTAATATCCATATTTCACACAAACAGCATGTGTCATAAACATTATATATTGATATATGTTGCACCCGGTGGGAATCGAATCTACATCCGATTAACCGTACGTTGCTACCATTAGACCAACGAGCCCAGAGCATTATAATCGTTGATATCTGTGTTTTTAATATTGTACCTTCATTATTCGTATACCTTTTATTTCAAATTGTCTTCATTTAACATTGTACCTTATTTGTAAGTGTTTAAATCCTGATTTCAGGTGGCGGCACTTTAGAAACGATACCGTGTTCACGTGTTGGTCACGTGTTCCGATCTTTCCACCCCTACGGCCTGCCAGCACATACAGATACACACGGTAGGACATTTTAGTTATACTTCTGTAATTCTAGAAAAGCATAAAAGATGGCGCTAGAGTAGCTACTTTGACTTACTTTATTGAGGTATGTACCAGCTGTGCTCGCGACTTCGTCCCCGTAGAATAACTATTTTGTGCATCAAAATTTGTTTTTGCAAACCTCCTCATCATTAGAAATTATAGCTCTTGCCCTCGACGTCATCCCCGTCGTGTCGTTCTTGCAAGTAAATCGTAATTGATATACATATTGTCCCAGACATTTTTTTAGATCATTCAAAGAGGAATCGTTTTTTTCCACATTTCCCATTGTTTCTTCTCTCTCATTAGTCCCAGTGGAAGGTTGTATATCCTAAAGGCTTCCTCAAATTCAATTAGAACCACTAGTTCCTGATATCAATGAATTCAAACAAATGGACTCTTCTGCTTTATAATATTAGTATAGATCGACTAATTAGTAATGTCCATTTCAATACATTTTAGGTATAAACACTGCGCGTATGGCTGAAGTATGGATGGACGAATATGCTGAACTGTTTTACCTCCATAGACCTGACTTAAGGGTAATTTAGTTAGTTTAAGTTATTTCTTTTGCTATATATTATGTATGTGATAACTATTTCGAATGCTATAATACTTTGGTACTGAGCTTAACAGATCTTGTTTTACAAATACATCCATAAATTTTTTATTAGTACCGTTATATGAAATTATTTATTTATACAGAACAGTAATTACCATCTTTGCATGATATATTTATATATTTACTACAAGCCAACAATACGTTTTTACATAAAACACTTTAACCGTTTAAAACGCGAAATATAAAACTTATTTTAACTACGGTGTCACGGGTCTACTGTGGTCACGGGGGGAAACCACAAAGAATGAGTAAAATAATTTTCAAATAAGTTTAACTAATATAATTCGCGTTTTAAACCTACTGGCGTAAACTACAGACAGTGTTTGACAATGTTTTAATAAATATCGTTATTTATTTTATAGAATAACCCCAAAATCGGTGACGTCACACACCGTAAGGTGCTACGAGAGAAGTTGAAATGCAAGAGTTTCCAATGGTATCTCGAACATGTTTATAAGGATAAATTTGTGCCTGTGCGGGATGTCTTTGGATTTGGACGGTTAGTACACAACACTTCTCCCCCCCACACCCCACAAACCCACACGTACATACATCCCCTCACAAACACCCCCTACATACAAACATCCCCCACACACACATTCCCCACACACTCTAATTAAATGTCAAATATGTGAAGTTCTATTCATTGTGTCTAGGTTTCGCAACCCGTCAACGGGTATGTGTCTTGACAGCTTGCAACGAGATGGTGAAGCTGCCCCACTAGGGGTGTACCCTTGTCATGCTACCCTCGAAGCGACCCAGTACTTTGCCCTGTCACTAAAAGGAGAACTCAGAGATGAAGAGAAGTGTGCTGAGCTACAATATATTCGGTAAGCAGTTAAAGCCAAAATTATGCAACAGTACATTTTGTTGAGATGTTAGATGGCTGGTGTGTTTCATCTCGCATCAAATACATCCTAAACTTGAGTTTATCCATACAAAGTATCGTGCCATCTTGCTCGCACTTAAAGATAATTATTATAGTGGTTTTCTCTGTCATGCAAAAACACTCTAATAATTGGGAATTGTAACGAAACTCTAATAATGTAATTTCGTGTATTCGAAACCGGAATATTTGCATATATAACACTGGACTAACAACGTCGTTATTTAAATGTTGTTGTGATATAAATATTGAAGGATTATACGCGAGCAGTACTATAATATTTCGCGTTTTAAACCGTTAAAAGTGTTTTAAATTAAAGTTTGTATCAATACTATTTCATTTAGATTGTTTAGTATACATATTAGTACTAAGTGTTATATGCATTTAAGATCATTACAAAAAATCGTTCAAGTAGGTACAAATTTCGCTATTCTATAAATTATTTCTTTCAAACCGATTGAATATTTGTTTTAATCCATTCACAGTCATTTCGAGAATAACTACTAATAACACATGTTACGATATTACAGACGTGTCCCTGGTGAAAGAGACTCGGGCGATCGCCGAGTTTTAATGGTCACGTGTCATGGAAAACTGAGGGGGCAGGTTGGTTTATTGATAGCAATAATAGTTTCAGCAAGTGGTACATATTAAATAACTTTTTAACGATTCAAAGCGACATATAGTTTATTTGCAGCAACAGATGCCAAACGAACCAGAGAATTAAATTTATATATTTCGCGTTCGAAACCGTTTATACTGATTGATTTAATAGAGTAGTTGTAATGCTTAACCACTGTTTGGTCTTGCAACTGAAGATCTAAAATAAAAGCCGAACCTTTGAAAACTTTAATATTTTTAACATAATATTGCACATGACGGAGCAAAGCACGGAACGCTAAGGATGCCGATTCAAGCCCTTCCCCGAGGCGTAATTTTTTAAAATTTTTCATTTTACAGTGCACATGTGAAAAGTATAGTTTTCAAAGGCCTTTATTTTATTATATTACATATTGACATTAAAATCTTTCCTTTACTAGAAGTGGCGCTATCTCCCTTCTAAGCAGCTACTCCATTTGGAATCAGGTCTGTGCTTGACAGCGCCGCGCACCGCGGGCAGTGACGTCACAGCGTCAAAATGTGCTCCAATCCCGTTCCAAAAATGGGCCATAGACTATACTGAGGATAATGACTTTAGATTGGACAGTGAGTTGAAACTGTATTGGTGTCCTTATTATGGTTATTTTTTTATGATAGAGAAGAACAGACAGACATGGGGTTCCATGGGGACCAGGTTCCGTCGATTATTTTTATTACACCAACAAGCACATAGTTGATGGAGTGTGATTGTCAAAACTTGTCTAGCCATATTTGAAAATTGCTGAAATATACACAGAAATAAATTCAATAATTCAGAGTTATTTATAAAAAAAAACTTTCTTAAAGTGTATTATTATTATTTATTCATTTTTCAGAAAAATCAGAGCCCAGTGAACAGGAAACGAGATTACAAAAACTGAGAGGACAAAGGTAAGAGTTTCTTTCTCATTAAATGAAAATAATCAATCCTCGATATCTTTAAAGAGAGCGGGGGTGAAGGGGGGGGGGGGTTTGTCATGAGGTCACAGACGAAATGTGGACAGCAAAAAACTTACATTACTTATGTTTTATTATCACATATGTATGTGTATTATTAAAGCTGATAGTGATTATTCAATTGTTTGCAAAATATATTTGTATGTACTTTGATTTCATAATTTCTATTTTCCAGACGAATATCCCGCTCCCTACTCTCTTACAACGAGACGGACCAACGTCGACATCACAAGAAGAAGAAGAAATCCAAGAAGAATAAAAAGAGTAAGAAAGGAAAGAAAAAAGACAAATTCATTCTCAAACTGGTGAGGAAAGTGAACGACAGTGAAGAGCATTTGGAAGTAGACATTTACTGCAAGCATAAACGATTGTATCCGAACAACAGTTTTGTACGTGACATAGTTTCCGTTCTCAACGATAGGGACATTAAGGTAAGCTATTTGAAGAATTGTAAAAAAACTAACTCAAAATCGTTATTTATAGGTACTTGGTCAAAAATAAATTATCTATACACTCTCTGGTATTCGAACCTACAACCCTTATCGAAATACAAGGCCCGTAAACACAGAAAAAGCTAGTTATGATTTATAGTTAAAGCTATATGAAATAGCTGTCTTAATAATTCTCTCTCTTTCTTTTTCTGTTTTTGTCTCTATCTATCTTGATTTTTTATGACAAGCAACTGTGTTGCAGGTGATTAATAACGGACGCGTATTCGAGAAGCATCGCGTGATCGAGTTGTATCCGCATAAACATAGTCATATGCATGCAGAGGGGGGTGATAAAGAGGTACTGATATAAGTGTTTTTTGGTGATTTTGGAAATATTTAGAAGAAAGGAAAGTAACACTGTCTTTAGTTTACGCGTGTAGTACACATTTAAATAAAACACCAACATTAATAAACGCGTTTCCCACCGTGGTCCCGGAAAACGAAGAACCGGATTTGGTGACCTGCAAAGCATAAGAAACGTCGGGCCATAGTTCAAATAATTTGTAAACAAGTTTAACTTATATATTTAGCGTTTCAAACAGTTAAAGTGTGATATTTTAAAAAAGTAGTAAGATAAATAAATAATATATGATTAGATTTAGTCATAATAGTCAGTCTTAATAAATCGTTAATAATACGCTTTCTCTATTTAAGCACTTCCTAAAGTACTGCTATAAATAATGCAAAAAATTAAACTAGTAGCCACTTAGTACCAATGTTAATTAAAATTACGACGATGAGGTGTTCGAGGACTCGGTAGCTCAATTGGTCCTGCCCGAGTCTTTTTTTTTTCAATTTAACTTAGATTTTTAAATTAAACTAGTTCAAAAAATAACCATTATTATACATAAGAATAAATTTAGCAAAAATATGGATGAACAGGAAAAATATATTTTTTCCAGCCAATCAAAGAGGTCCAAACGAAGAAGCATAGAGAGAAAAAGATAGTGCAGCCTGTTGCGGCAGAATTGATTAATCCGATTAGCCCCGGGGAGCAGCCTGACCCGGGGAACCAGGATAGCGGAAATGTGATGAGGCTTAAGCAGGAAAGTGAGAAAAAGATCATAATTGAAGATTTTGTGGAGGTCACACCGAAACCAATGTCTGGTGAAGCTCCTAAGGTTTGTGATTTAACAATATTAAAATTATTGGAGTGAAATTTTTATATCAAACATGTATTCTAGATTTTATACAAATTCAAAAAATAATCAGGTTTTATTAAAAGTATTCAGTCTGTCTGTTCAATTAGTACACATTGAAATAAAAAATTTTAACGATTTAAAACACGAGATGTTTTGGTTAAACATATTTACAAATTATTTAACTACTGCGCAATGTTTTGGATTTTTTGCAGCCATGGTCACGGTTTATACATTTCGCAATTTAAACCGTTAAAAGTTATTTAAAAGTATCAAGGTCGAGAAAGTATTATATCCTAATATTGTAATGCTTTCACAGTATTTCGACGAGTTAACAAAGTTTTATCGATTGTCCTTATATTTTTAGCGCAAACGGAAGCGTGTCCATCACAAGAAACGGGTTCTTCCTCTTGTACCTCTTAGGTTTGTATAAATTAAATTATTTTCTTTCTTAACGTATTGTTCTTAGTTTTCTAAAAGTTTTCTGTTTATCACAGTGAGGATACAATGAAGCCAATATCTCTAGAAGACACACCTTTGGAAGAAAAGACACAATATAAATCGCAACGTGCTAACTCTGGTATGTATACTGTTTGATTGTATGTAGCTCTACCTAGACTTCGCTATAATATAATAACTAATATTCACTTCTCTGATATATTATTGACATACTATGAATATGTCTATTCTATGTTCTGCTTGCTGCTGTATCTGCTTACGTTTACCCTACGAGAAACGCCTCTAGCTTTAACGTATTTTTCTCAAAAATTACCAATTTTAATTATTAAAACAAACTTTTGCTTACATATAATTCTAGCTGAGCCTCGTGTAAACGAAAAGCCAACTAAACTACAGCGGAGACAGTCACTACACGAACAACAAACAGACTCAAAAGACGATGTTTACAAACGTTACGATCAAACTGATGATGAGACAACGGACGATGAAAAGCTGACACGAGACAGTGATAAACTGGAAACCGATGATGAAGTATATAAAGTCTCACATAAAATTGTCAAGTATCCGTCCGATGATGATGATGCATTCAAACGATCGATTATTGTAATTGGTAAAACTGTAGATAAGAACAACAAAGAATCACAAACAGCTAGTGATGGAAATGTTTTATCCGATGATGATTTCATAAAAGCCCGTAAAGGTGACAACAGAAACAAAATAGACGACGAAATTCCAAATGAAATAGATAAAGACATAACTTTAACAGAGCACGCAAAAGATGCTATAATAAAGAGGAAATATATAAGCAGAGAGATAGATAGTAAAAAGTACAATCAAATGAGGTATCAGCTGGTTTCTGATAAAGCTAAAAATTACAAGAAACGCGATAGGGAAAGTGAAAAAATGGCAGATGACGGATACAAAGCATTTGATAAAGTGAGGCATAAAATCAATGACGATCGAGTTGTATATACCGATAGGAATTTAGTGGATAGCGAAGAGGGGTTTGATGTAAAAACAGAAGAAGTTGCGCAAGCGCAAGAACAGGTAAGAAACACTTTTAGATATTGACAAACATAAATTCGCCTATAGACGCTTTTATACACAAGTCTCTTTGCTAAAGCTTTGATTTTGGTGATTGCTTTTGTTATTGGCTGGCTCATTGTAGTAGTAGCAATGTAGGGCTAATAATCAATTGGATGTAAGTTCGATCTTCACAGGGTCTAACATTTTTCTAATCATTTTTTTTAACTTGTAGGACTTCGTAAAAAAAATACAACATACCACTGATTTGTTATATTATGCTAATTTCCAGTTAGGAATGACACCATCTCCCCGAAGCAGAGATGGGGAACCAGCTCCAGTGCGAGTGGTGATGAGATCCAACCTTACTTTTAACCTCGATGATGAGTTCTTTAACTGGAAACTGGCTGCGGATGATGTAGCGTGAGTATATAGCAGAGATTACATAAATACTGTCGGTAGTTTACTCGAGTAGTTCACATTTAATATAAAACAACTTAACTGTTTAAAACGTGATGTATATTAGCAAAACTCATACCTTCCCAAATACTAACTACAACTGAACAGATGGCGCTAGCGTAGCAGATTTTATTTTGACATCAGAGATGCCCTAAATCTTTAGTCTTCCCGTAACGACGGCTGCTGCGAAACATAGGAATATCGAAATTTCGTCGGGGTCCACAGTCCACAGATGAAAGTCGTCAAGTTAAATCGCGTCATCATTTCAGTCTGTAGATTTTCGAATATCTAAACCCAAAATAGGTGGACGGGGCATTTTTTTAGAGCATAGTATAGATGTTATATGGCTGTGGTGTGTCACCTTCCATCAAGTTAATTCCATGCTCGTCTTTCATAAAAAAATTAACAAATTTTATATAACACAGGAATCTATTGGGAGAATTAACTATACCAAGCAACACGACCAAATCGTCCAGTACCGAGCTCGATTCTCGTCAGAGAAACGAAGCAGTTGTCACAGGAGGTAGTAAAACGCATCAGGACTCAGCGTCCGTGGAAAGTAGCAGCGAAGAAAAAGTAGAATGATGGTAGTTGATATTCATATCAAGTGAATTTTGGTGCCTCTATTGTTGCGTAATTAAAAAATGTCTATAATAGGGTGCGAGAATTGAGACTTCTAGTTTTTACGTTGAAATAGCATAATAGTTTTGACAATTATTGTTAAGTAGCTAATATTAGGTGCAAATATTAAGTTTAAAATTTCAACTATCGAAAGGCTATTTAAGTTCTCGAGCTGTTCGATTGTCGTAATTGTGAAATGGTCGACGACAATTATGATAAATGTCGTAAATCATTTCCCAAGGTCGTTAGCCCACAGAGCATAATATGGCTGCGAAGGCCTTGTTCCATTTATTGATTTAGTCTTAGTTCCTATATCTTCATTTCAGTATTATTAAGCTTTATTGTATCGAAAAATCTTAAATGGATATCTTTCGCCTCAATTGAATTTTCGAATCAATTATCAATTGATAGAATGTAGGAATTCCGTCCAGGATACTTGTAGTAGTAGTAGAAAAGACTATTTTTAGACGTTTTGACCTTATACGATACTCTGTATTTAATTCTGTATACTGAAAACTTTGGCGTTTAGTATATATTTTACAATTCTGACATTCTTACATAGGAGTGTAATTACTATTTTTCATACTGTATTATAAAATGTGTATATGTTGTTAAGTTTATAAATCCTAATATTGTATATCTAGTTACATATATGCGAGAGATCGTTTTATTAAACTTAGTGAAGACTGTTTCCTGTTTTGTTCCCACAGCTGGGACTCACGGCCCCTAAGAAGCCATGTTGAACATTGCATAAGTTACATATGCGTTCTACAAGCATTAACACTTACGATTTAAAACGAAAAATATATTAGTTAATTTATTTATTTACTATAAGCATCCAAAATGTCGGCCCTAAGTATAATGTATTACAATTTAGTAATAATTTGAGTTTAAAACCGTTAGAAGGGTTAAAAAATATTTATGACAAAATTTTACTGTTAACGGCCAGTCAAATCAGTGATCTAATTGCTAATTATCGTGTAAAATTTTACACTATGGATTTAAATAATACAAAAAGTACGTACATAAAAATCTTTATTAAAAAAACTATAAAAAAAAAACAAAACAGGCACTTCTACAGGAAACAAAGTTGGTTTAGCACATTACAACCAGTAATTTAACACGTTGGAACTAATAATTAGTATAATCTTACTTAATAAGTAGATTACAAAAGGATGTTTTTTAACGCTTAATACTGTAATCCCTTTTACAACAGAAAACAAATTCCAAAGAAAATACCATTCCGTTATCTTTTTAAAATAACTATACGATATTTTCAAGGAATCCTGAAAAAAAAAAAACACTTACGCCAATTTAATATAATGACTAGGGTAAAGATAACAGAGATATAACTAGTACCCGAAATCAACACTTATGTAGGATAATAGAATCTTTGTCCTCACAACATACTTTTTGGTCTGACCGTACTCAAGCCTTATTTAAAACTTGATCGCTAAAACAGATTTTGTCTCTTTCTATCGTACTTGTTTTGTGCTAGAGAAAAGGAACAAAATCTGTTTCAGATATGAATTATGGTAAATAAGGTTTTATATACTATATTTAAGTACTACCAGTCTCAAATACTTTTAATCACAATGTTTAGACGGAATGATCAATTGTCTTCTCTTAGTAAATAAACACAAGCTGTTTACTAGCAGAACTATATCAATTACTTTCAATACAGTGTTCTGCGGTCTTTCATATATCTCTCAAAATTGTGCTCACATTTTGAAAGAATATGAGAATTTTTTAACACAATTTTAATTAGATTTTATGAAAATACACCGACCATGATTTCCTGGTGACCATGATGACCTCAAGAACATTTCACCTTCAAAATATATCTTAGTGGTATAATAGGCATGACGTCAATATTAAACAAGAAAAATTAGCTTTTTTTAATCAATAGACACCTAATACAAAGCAATATCTTAATTGGATGCTTTAATATCATTAAATTTGTTTCTCTATTAAATTCTCAGCTTTACAATTTCTAGCTATATTCGAGTGGGAACTATTGACTGATTAGGGTAAGAAGTGCAGTCTGTGAGCGAGAAAGAGTCTTATCACACGAAATCCTCGTTTTTTGTAAATAGTCGTTCAAAAGAGACGGTTCTCTATTTATTTCGTATGAATATAGCTAGCTACCAATACGATCATGCCTATTACCAAAACATACCCAACTAAGCCAACTCTCCCCTCAGCCGCACCGGTCGGCCCGCTTCTATAACTACCCTCGATTTAGTGTTACGGAATGAGCCGGCTACGAACTCTTCGCAGTTCAATGCTTTCGTGCTGCACGGCTGCGATGGACCCACGTCGTGAGTCGGCTCTTCGAAGCTCATACGCGTGTACATACTTTGACTTTCGCGTAGTTTCTAAAGAAATATTGTGCACCTTATTTCGGTAACGGAGACGTCAAGACATTTTAAATCACATCCAAAACCAACCACATTTTGTGAAATACCATAAAACTTTATGATGAATGCTAAAGAAAAGCTTTTTTCTTACTTTCAAATTCTATAATCCAAAATTTCAAATATACACTTCCATTTACTAAGCCAGAGTTATGCATTATCAATAATTTTTTTCTCTGCTCTTCCTTGCCGAAGCAACAGGCAATTATAGAATGTTACAATAATATCTATTTTTAGGCATGCAGTTTAAAAAATTTAAGAGTAAATATAAAAAACGTATAAAAAATACTAACGTTACGTTCACGGCTCTCCCATAGTAGCCTAGCAAGCGCATGCGCATGAGATTCTATCGCAGCCGATAGCTGAGTGGAAGACATACGAGCCACGCTGTTTGCGTCTAGTTCTTTTCTAGCTGAAAAATACAATATTAGATATTACAAATTCAGGCTTGTTAATCCGTTTGTAGAAATGGCTAATAATTTAACGGGTCGCAAGTTTAAATCCCAACAGGTATCATATTGAATTCCAAAACATATTAGACTGGAAAATTAATAAAATGGCTATAGAAATATGCAATTTCGTCCGGATACAAACAAAACCTTTAGATACCTGATCTATTTACGTTTCAGTCTGTGGATTTTTTAATAACAAACCAGGTTAAGACTTGTTACATTTTATGGCAATTGATTTTTCATCAAGTGAATCTCAAGATAGTCCGTCAAGATCTTTGTATACCTTATTTATTGATCCAAGAATAAAAATTATATTAAAAAAAAATTTAAGCAACATTTTATTTGGTCTATTAATCGGCAGTTTTACATTTTATGTACTTTGTCCAAGACAGTCGTTGCTTAACAACACAAAATCAGTACAGTATACTAAGTTCGAATTCTAGGGAAAAATCATATGTCGCTTACATTTTCTCTAAAATGCACTAGTGATACTAACATTCCATATTTATCTCAATCTCAGAACAGTGTGGCGCTAGGTCTGCGCCCCTTGTGAACTCGGCGAAACTGTCTACAGAGACGCAAGACATTTCTTCCTGCAATTATTTATTTATTTTTCATTATTTATTAATTTTGGGGGACTAAAGTTGGTGTTGTTCCAAATCGACTATTTTAGCACCATCTGTTTCCTAATAAAAAACATTTGCAAAGCATTTGATTTAAAGCATTCGAAAGCTTGGGTGCCTAGAAACTGCAAAATCGATTTCAAACAAAATGTTACTACCCCTTCTTAAAAAAAAATCCTACTAACCACATATAATCAGTATAAAGGTAAAAATTGCAAAATTACCTCAACCAAGTTCATCTGATTTTTTAGCTTTAAGAACTCAGATGGCACCTGAAAATAATCCTGACTGCCATCAACCATGTCCACTGTAAGAACATTTCATATATGTATAACAGACCATAGACAAGTTAACAAGTTTTGACATGACAAGAACTATTATATAATAAAATAAATAAATAAATATTATATTATTATAACAAACTCTAAATTTGTTTTCTAGTAAAATAACTTAGATTACCATTGGGTGCAGGAATTTCATTGGTCCAACATTCCATGTTAGGCCAAGACTCGGCTTGATATAAATTTGTGTTTAGTTCATTATTTACCAGAATGTTACCTGCTGAGCAAATAAATAATTTGTTATAAACATAATTAGTAACTAAAGATGTATATTGACGACATTATTCGTCAGCATTCATGATGTCCTACTGCTGATAGATAAAAATTGTTTTCTTTTTTATATCATAACTTGAATTAAAAGTTTAATAGAAATTTATAAAAAACTCTTATCTTATTCAAGATACTTCTATACATATATTGGCTACTGGAAATAATATTCTGAAAAACCTACCCTGCTGATAGTAATTCTGTTCATGAAACTGGTTGTCTCCATGATCAAAATGACAATTTTCATTCCAGAGTAATTCATTACTGCCAACATACGTTGATTGACAGGTTCCATTGTTCATCACACCCCAGTCTTGGTAGCTTGAATGTTGGTGTTGTAAACTTCTTGACATATGATTGTTAATTCTATTTGAAGTCTGAAAACAGGCTTTGTTAATAACATCATCTAATAAGGTGCTTTAAAGTTTGGCACAAGCAGATAAAATATATCATGAATACATTTTTTTCATATACTCTGTTTCTTTTGTTGGAAATCAACTATATCTACAAGAATGTATCTACACCATGATTATGCAAAAGGTACAAAATACTTAATACCTGTGTTGTTATCTGCGCAGGAGTGAGTTGTGTAAAATCATTATAAGCATAACTCTCTCGCTTAGCACCAACAAGGAGGTCTTGTAATATATTCTGCTCTGACTCCGGCCTTTTATTATTTGGCCAGATATTGATGTTTTCTAGCCATTGTTGGGATAAGTTGGGCTTGGATGATGTTTCTAACTCCGTTTTCGATGTTTTATCCAAATCTGTGGAAATATGTACAGTATATTTTTTAACAAGTGTCATAAATTCTAAATTAAACTTGAGGCAAAAACATTATTTCACACATATATTCTGATAAAAAGGTATACTTTTATAACTAAATATTTTTTTACAACTGCCTCTAATATTGTAGAAATAAAACACACCTGATCCAGTGTCAATAAAAGCTTCATTAAGAATTGAGTCCTTTTTTTCCACATCAAATGTCTTGTTAAGAGTGTTACTGTAAAACATATTTGCCAATTGTATTTATATTTAAATAAAAGTATTAATGATTGGGTAGGAAGCTAATTACGATATCCCATTAATGATAGAATGAGATATTAAAATACTTTACAAGGTCCTAAATGACCACTAAACAAAATACAAGAACTGTGTCATACAAGTAATGTTGACTTACTGTGTTTTAGGTGATGACCTAGTTCTATTAGAGGGAAACTGCCAATTCTTCTTATTCTTGTAAAAGTTTAAGCGATATATCGCAACAAATTTAGGAGAATTAGGGCCATTTGACGACATTTTATGAACATTGAATCTTCGTTTAGACACACTTGTCTTTCTGTTCAAACAAATATATTGTTTTAAACACTTCCTCAAATTTGAAATCTACCTACAATTAAATTTTTGGTTTCTGCTTACATTTATTTACTCTCAAATTTTGTTCCACAATCGTCAATTTTCAAAACACAGTGAAGTTTTTTTTTAATTTGCATTTAATAAATACAATCTGTCAACGATCCATTCAATTTTTAATTGACATGCATAATTTTACACAAAAAAGAGCACAAATGAATTAAGAAACATATCTTATTTTAAAATATTATGATGAATTATATCATAAAAAAATATTTACATAACTTAATTAAAACTTACTCTTGAGTGAAATATAATATTTTAGAATATTTATAATCTGTCCATTTTGACATTCCGTTTGATAGATATTAAATGAAATTGAATGTTTGCAACTGTTGACCGGAGATTTTGACATTTTAAAACTAAGCTGTACGGGCTCATGTCGAGCGCTCCGCGGTTATAATGGTTTCTTTTAGTATAAACTTGTTATTGTGCTCTGTTTTGTGTATTTTAGTGAATACCAGTATACAACAAACGGTGCACAGACGTTTTGAATACAAATATTCATTCAAGCCTCCGTACTTAGCACAAAAAGATGGATCGGTTCCGTTCTGGGAGTATGGTGGAAGTAAGTGATTCCTTTTACGTTTAATATTTCAAAGGACTTGAAATATAAGGGATTGTGATATCGTATAAAATGTCTGTGTTTATGTATTAAAAATAATTTGAATTAAAATTATTTCTTGTTGTTACGGTACATCACATTTGACATAGACACGTCAGTGAAATGTGTCAAGTTAGAACGAGATAGCGCTAAAGGCACTTGGCGTTGTGCGACAGAGAGGCAAGATAAGATTCGTGTTTCTTCTTCCACGACAGCAAAATACGATTTTGCGAGTTTTTTCTATTGGTTTTTATAAGTTTTTTGAATTAAAATGCCAACGCACTCAATAAAAAATGTCGTTAAACACTGAAAAATGTTCATGGCAATATCTAAAAAAGAAAACAAAATTTTTAGAAACTGTAAATAGTTAGTGTTACGCTTATAATTACATCGCAGGTCGACTTCACTTAAAATAATAATTAGACGTTTTCTTATTATTAATAATAATCATACTGTTTTAAATAGGTACTTCTACTCACGCTATTATCTAAGATAGTTATTTATATAATTTTCAAAATGCTTCAAAACTTATTAGATGCTAAAATATGAACATCTGTTAAAATAAAAAAAAAATTATAGTTATTACTACTACATAAATTAATAATTCAAGGACTTAAAGAGGGTATTAATTGATTAATGTCCTTGTTTTATCAATTAAATGCCACTATTTTAATTTATGTTATCAATTATATCATTAATAAAATATAATTTGACATGCTTTATCAAAGTCATAAATTTTATTATTAAAACACAATCAAAACCTTGAGCAAACTATAAAATACAATTTTGTTAAATCATTTAGAAGAATGAGTGTTACTACATTATCTTTTGATATTAAAATGTGTAAAGCCAATTAGACAGAAATTGTTTTTAAATAAAACACTTTAACGGTTTAAAACGCGATATATTAGTTAAACTTATATGAAATGATTTTTAAATTCAGCCGTTTTGTCTGTTTGGCTTTACTGAATAGATAAAAAATGCAATATTTTCAAAATGATTGTAAATTTTCTCTTAGATAATTATTTGAAGAATCATAGCATTCATTTCAACTATTAAAAATAATGTGAATACATTAGAAAGTTAATGAAAGTAATAAAATAGACCCACACCTTTGATGTAAAACTAGACCTACCATTATATTTTATTTATAAAACTATTATTTCAAATATTATAGGTGGATTCAATCAATTCTTTACTTAACTGCGTAATGTGATTGTTACACATTAAAAAGTAATAAAAACTTTGTTTTCATCAACTCTGTAATAACCTTTGCCAATATGTTTGGAAAATATACTATGTTTTCAATTTGAGATTATTTCACCTTTGTTGTTATACTGATAAAATAGAAATTTACTTGATTGTCAATTTACAGAGTAATATATTCTTAACTTAAACTAAAACTAAACTTCTCTTGATATAACCCCAAGATCCTTACTTCTAAATTACTGGGCTATCTTAACTTGTCTTTCATAAAATAATATATTCATTATAGCATTATTTGAACCAGTTCTAGTTCCAGTAATTATAAGTATAGGACACAGTAGCTCAATTGTTTAGACAGCATTGGAAAGCTGTGGATGCATATTCGAGTCCTGCCTGTGTCGTATTTTTTTTTAAATGAAATAAGTAATTATATAAATTAATATTCAATTTAAAAGTCCTTTTTTCACTAAGGGGTCTTGATGATGATAGTTTAAAAAACATTACATTACTTATTTATCTAAAACACATGGGATAACATCAAAATTGTTTTATTACCATGAACTATCATGCTGCCATCAATAAGTTATTGTCTGCAATACCATAGACTCTCTATTAGGCTTAAGTTTTACTTACAAATTGATTTCTTATTTAGTGAGTCTATTAAATATATAACTTATATATGTACTTATAGTTTTTGTTTTGTGGCATGTGTTATAAATTATAAAGCTTCAATAAATAATTAAAAGTTATCTGCAAGCTTAGTAAATGACTACACACAGATGGTGTCTTAACTCTAGTAATATTATATTATTCAATTTATAACAAATGAATGAGACCCATTTTTTTTAAAGTAACAAACACAATTTTAATATAATTTATGTTAATTTGTTGATAATAATTTTTAAAACAAAAATATATCAGGTTTGCATTTTTTATTCAATTAATTATGCAAATATTATACTTATTCAGTGTCTTATCTTTTTACCAAATTTTAGATACCGGGTGATGTTTTCAATTATTTTACCTCTTATTTTAGAATATGATAGTAAATAATGTGTATATGAATAAATTTAAAGAAAAAAAATACATAACTGGTATGGACTGTATGTGTGGAATGTAGAAAACTGGTTCTTATATATTTTATTGTTAATTATTTTCTATAGACACTTTTCTATATACTAAGTGCCTTAAATGAAATATAAAATTGCAAACACAGTCTCCTTAAAAAAATATATCACAACATGAACTTATTTGATAAAACTATATTTCTGTAGTGTTATTTAAGTGACCTATCATTTGTTTTGTTTAACCACCTTTGATAATAAAATAATAATTAATTATTATCATTGTTTATATTATTTAGGCAATAAAATTAGTTGGCAGATTAGACATTGGCAAGAGTGTTATACTTAAAAAAACTTATCTTAAGTAAAGACTTAAACAATTAACTTGGTGGCAATTTTAATCTTGTTTTTTACATCAGGTGTTATTATATCTTAACAAATAACAACCAGTATGGTTTAATGGTAATTTTTAACTGATTATATAAAAGAATATCTTGTTTTCTATTTAAATATTCGTATTATAATTAGACAGGCTTGTAGGAGACATATATAACTAAGTTCAATACGAAAATGTCTGTTATATTAATTAATAGACAAATTGGTCTGATTTCTGTTGGTCAATAGACGAATTTTCACTTCCAATAACTTGTCTTAAAAATATTTACTTTTATTTTCTAGATTGAAATAAAACACTTTAACGGCTTAAAACGCGATATATTATTTATTATTAAAACCGTTAAAGTGTTTTATTTATATGTGTACTACTTGCGTTAACTATAGACAGTATAAAATCTACATTCTCGTAGGCGAGGCACTGGATATACACATTTCTGTGTCCTGCCCAAACTTCTAATTTAACACCAACTTAGGCAATGCGTGTAAACATAGAGACCGTCTTTTCAATTGCCACATAAGTGTTTATTTAGCTAACGTTAACGTCAACTAAACAGCAGTCTTCTATATCCTGCATTTTTAGTCGCTTAGCAACGCGATTTAAACTTATTTGAATATAATGTTTGCTCAGTGTCGATGATACGTAATATTTTTTATCGCCCCGTTGGCATTTGTGTAACCGGCTTTTTGTCCGCGTTTTTTTCGCCTGTCTGCATTTTAGTACTTTGATGATGTGAATATTTTTTTCCCAATGTATTTGTCATCGTATATTTATGCAAGACAATCAAACTGCGAATTTATTACGATTGGTTGCATGTTGCTAAGAATATCTTGCGATTCGAATACGAAGTTGATGGGTTTGTTGGTCTAATGGTAGCTATAATATATAATAGACTAATAATCAATGGGTCGTGGATTCTATGCTCAACAGGGCCAACATGTATCTAATCTAATTAATTTATAATTTTTGTTGAAACATGTTGGACTCCGACTGGACATGGTAGTATTACATGAGGATATAAAAAATTATATTCTTTACACGTGAGAAAGTGAAGTTTAATCGTGTCTCGGTTTCAGTCTATGGATTTCCGTATTTACAAAGCTAAAACCGGTCCATAGCGCTTCTTGTTTAAATGTTATATGGCTGAGGTATTTCTCCTATCACCAAGAACCTCATGCTTGTCTTTCCTCCTCTAAAAAATAATACCAGAGTATCATACACATCTCTGATCATCCGATCTATGTATGTAATATATACTGCATTACATTTTGTCTTATTTATATTTGATTGTAAGATAGTTGAGAAGGTGGCCGATCGCATTTCTCGAACGACCGCAACACCAAACCTTGTTTGCGGTTTGAAAATACTATAACTACAAAGTATTTATATAACTTTGAAACTATGATTAAATATATGCTTATAATTAGCATATAAATTAAATATTTTGCTTTACTAGTACGTATACTATTTGTTTATCGTTTAAATGTTATAAAAAATAGAGTTGAATTTAATTAATTTTATCAAAGTATCAACAAAGTACAGACTAATATTAATTAAACCAAAGTACTAACCTTTTATATAAAAAAATAAGTAGCAAAAAGGTGTCTTGGTTTTGAATTCTGAGGAAATTATCATTAATAAGCGTTAGTAAAGTAGCATTAACAAAACAAATGTATGTAACAGGATTCGAATCCCGATTGTATTAATAATAAAAAAACCATATATGTACATTGTTTAACGAGGCATTGATTTAAAAAAAAACGTTTGACTCGTACCTACGACCCATTGGTATTAGACGTAAATTGTTGCTGTTATATCGTACCCTTATTTCAAACTGTCTTATATGAGATTTAAAGCAAAAAATACATTTGGAACTCTCCGCATGGTAGATGCTATCTTATCGAATTACAAGTGCTAAAGTTGATTATCACTCGCTTCTGTATTAAAGAGATTATTCGTGATACAATAAAATGAATTGAACATCGCTGGTCATACAAGTTGGTTCGTTTTCAACGATTACGAAATAAACTTGACACGTGCTGCTAAATGGTCGAGTATTTTTTTATTCTTTATAACAATTTATTAGGTCTACGAACTGAAATAACTGTATTAAAGCAATGCTGACTTGCAATTAGTCAGCTTTTAATTGCAATATCTATACTAATATATAAAGCTGAAGAGTTTGTTTGTATGTTTGAATCTCAGGAACTACTGCTTCTAATTGAAAAATTCTTTGTAGTTAGAACAATTATCGAAAAAGACCAAAACTAAAACATCGAGTCTTGACTAATAGGAGCGAAGAAACAGCGGGAAATGTGAAATAAAAAAGGGGAAATATTATTCAACGTCGCGAGTCTCCGATGCGTACGCGTGCGACAAACGGTTCAAGTGACCAAAAAAATATGTATGAAAGGATGACTCCTCTTAAATGATTTTAAAAATGTCCGTGACACTATATGTCTACCTTCTAAGCTTAACTTGCAAGGACGACGGGAAGCGATCGATGTCTTCTCGAATAACTTTCCCCGTTTTCTCCACATTTCCCGATTTATCTTCGCTCCTATTAGTCACAGCGCGACGCTTTAAAGCCTTCCTCGATAAATGTTCTAGCCAATACAAACATATTTTTTTACATCCATCGATAATTTCGGAGATTTGCGCGTTCGAACAAACAGACAAAAAAACAAACTCTTCAGCTTTATATATTTGTATTGATAGGTACTATGTATTTAGTTAGATTCCAAGATGAAATTATTATGACCAAATAACTACTGCTTTTGCGCCTAAACGAATTTGTAGTTTGTCCTCGATTCTTAAACGACATCCAGTTTTACACTAGTGATAAGACATTTTCCGTTTGTTGAGTCTAGGAATTGAATAGGCAAAATTTGAAAACATTAATATTTTTCACATGAACTATGTACTTTAAAAATCGAAATTAAATGAAAAAAATTACATTGCGCCTGAGGTGCATGTATTAATAAGTTAAAAAAAAAACGAAAACGATGAGGTGTAGGACTCGTCATCTCAAATTGGTAGAACAACAGCACGGAATGCCTGTTCAAGTCCTGCCCGAGTCGAAATTTTTTCAATTTTTTAATTATATAGGCATTTTTTTTCAGCTTGTTTTTTAAGCGTTTCTTACTCAAAATGTAAAAAAAAAATTCTGTAATAAAATAAATCGAAAACAAAAGAAATATTAGTTGGGCTCTTATACAATTATTCCAATCTTTGCCTTTTTCTCTTCATCAATAGAAACATAAGTGTAACATGTAATAATTAGTATTTAGTTATTGTCCCCTTGAATACCTTTTTAACTGTATTATCTCCCATACAAAAAAATATCGTATATTATAGAATAGATATATTACAATTAACATGTAAATAACTACATTCTCAACTCGTTCGGAGACGCAACAAAAATACCTATTCATAATATTGACCTTTCGTTCGCTGCATTAAAATTGATGATATTCAATACATCAAAGAGAGAAGCCGATTCTGTATGTGCCGACACTCACCTTAGGTCAACTCACCTTTGATAAATAAAATCACGCAATATCTACTACCTACTAGTAATACCGTAGTACCGACTTGAAATTATTATAGATAAAATTTTATAAAAAAATTTCATAATATCTAAAATTAATTTTCTTAAAAAAATACTTTTAGTTCATATAGAAAATCTACGTGCAAATGTAAGTTTCTCAGCCTGTAAAATAAATCCCAAAAGCTCAGAATAAGCTATTTTTCTTTACTTAATAATCGAATGTAATAATCGTGTTTTCCTCCAAAACGGCTAGGCCCGTTTTAATATAAAAGATAACACTGCGTACTTAAATTATTAGTGTAAATGAGACACTTAAACACAGACTTTCAACTGTTTAAAGCGCGAAATATATAAGCTAACTTATTTACAATTAATTTTTACTATGGCCTGACGTATCGTATACTTTGCAGCAGTCGTGGTCATTGGGATTGGGGGACTGAAGATTGAGTGTTCTTAATGTCAAAGTCAAAAATGCTAGCTAGCGCCATCTGTTCGCGTTTTAAAACCTTAGTCTCATATTTTAATGTGTACTTCTCGCGTAAACTACAGACAGTACTAAATATAGTTATTTTCAGATGCGATAGCGTCGGGAGAAAGCGTAAGATTAGCGCCGTCACTTCGTAGTCAAAAGGGGGCGATATGGAGCAAACAGCCCATCAACTTCGACTGGTGGGAGGTGGACGTCATGTTCAAGATTACGGGTAGAGGAAGGATAGGGGCTGACGGTCTGGTAAGCATAAAAAATATCGCTAAAAACTAATTTATAGAACGAGACAAGTCGTTAAACTTCAGACATTTAAAACAATATTTACTGTTAAAAAAGTATTTTATATAACTTCTGAAGAGCCTTAAATTAGTTCGAGAATTTGATGGGTCGTTGCTTTAATGGTAGCAATGAATGGCTAATGATCCACGGGTCGTGGTTTCAAACCCCACCAGGTCCAACAAGATCTTTCAATTTATATTTCTTCTGAAACAGGCACTTCGTATGGATATCTGGTATATAGGTAATGGATATAGAAATTTCGTCCGGGTCACGAACCGTCCAGAGATAATAATAAATAATAATAATAAACTCTTTATTGCACAAACATAGACATAAGAACATGGAAACATAGAATTACATATACAAAATAAAACATGTTCCGATCAAAAAGCCATTAAGCTTAATCGGGTTTCGGTTTCAGTCTATGGATTTCCGAATATCCAAAGCCAAAATAGGTCGACAGCGCATTTTGTTTCAATGCTTGTCTGTCCTTCTCTATCATGAAAAAAGCAAGTCGGCCAAACGATTTCTAAGCGTACATTTGCGCTAAGTACAGACATTCAAAACTATATTTAATGCGTTCTGAGAATCCAAAAAGCTTTGAATTAGCTCAAGAATCTAGATCATAGACATAAACTGGAAATTAGGTAATTTATAGTTTTACGTTATTTTTATGCGTTTACTAAATAGATTAAGACTAGTTATAACGAATCGGATAATTTTAATTATTTACGACTCCGTCGTGATAACTACATTGACACTAAAAGCCTAGATAAAAAGTTATGCTAGGCTGGAACAAGTTTGTTATATAGAAACACTCAAACAGGTTGCTCAATGTGTAAAATGTAAATTAAGTGAAAAATATTCCACTTAAACCTTTGATAAGCGAAGTAAGTTGTTATCATGTTAACTACATTTCTTTAGTTTTATTGCGTCTTATTAAAATAATATAATATTTTAAATATGTTACCAACTAAAAGAATAGATATTTAACGTTAAGTACCCATTTAAATAAAACACTTTTCACGGTTGAAACGCGTGACCACGTTAGGCAGTTCTGCTAAGAACCAAACAGATGGCGCTATCGTAGCAGGTTTTACTTACTTACAACCTACATCTTTTGTCTCCCCGTGACAACGGCTTTTGCAAAGCATCCGAAACGTCGAGCCGTAATAAATTAATTAATACGTTTCGGGTTTCAAACCGTTAAAGGCCAACACTTAAACTCTGACCATTTCACCAAAAACATAGCAACGGTGTTGCCTGCACAAAAAAAAAACTAGTTTTATATTTCGTTTATAATGTTTAAACGTGCAAAATACTTAAGTTGATTATTTTTAAATTAATAAAAAAAAACGGCACACGTACAAGTTTACGAAAGTGTTCTGGGGGTCGTAAATTCGATTCCTGAATGGCTCATATTTTTGAATATCTAAACAAGAAAGCAACTTGTTTCGCAAGCTGTCACAGTTAATAAACACTATTTTCCTATATAACAAGATATGGGTAAAAATTAACATTAAGTTTATATTTTCAGGCCTTCTGGTACACAAGCCAGCGTGGAGACTACACTGGTGACGTTTTCGGTTCGTCTGATAGATGGAACGGATTGGGTCTCATCTTCGACTCTTTCGATAATGATAATAAACACAACAACCCATACATTATGGCGGTTATCAATGATGGCACTAAGAACTTCGATCATAAGAGGTTATTAGATATTAGACTATTATTTTCCATGGGGGGGGGTCACTGATACAAGACTTGGTGATCAGATCAGTTTGCAGGGGATATTGTTATCCATCCCTCTCTGTGGCCCTTTTAAATCTTTTGGCTTCTTTGCAATCTCTTAAATATAAGGTACAAGCACCTTCATGGCTTAAAAGTTAAATACTTAGCCTATCATTGCCTTAAGCATGAGTGGACTTCGGTTCGCATCCCGGAGAAACGACACATTGTTTCGGTATTTGCCCGGAACGGACACAGAAATGTGTTCGCCCCATACCTAACAGGGGTTAACGGGATAATATAGTTTACGTTAAAAAAAAAAAAAAAAAATTTAAAGGGTTAAAAACGGGATATATTAGTTAAACTTATTTGAAAATGATTTTTCGGGCCGAAGTTAAAAATCATTTTCAAATAAGTTTAACTAATATATCGCGTTTTAAACCGTTAAAGTGTTTTATTTAAATGGGATAATATAGTTTTCGTTCAATATACTTTAGCCTAAATAATTGTGAAAGTAGGTTTTATTCAGTCAGAAGTATTAATATTATAAGTATATAAAATGATTTCTTCGATGAATGATTATCAAAACTTGTTTTATGTTATCTAATAAGGCCAAACAAAGTGTTTTTTAGTAATATTTATTATTTTGTTTTACTATAATTTAAATTTAAATATTGTCTTATGTTACCAACAAAGAATGCAAAAGTCTTTGACTACAATTACAAAATACTTTCAATACTACATTTACACTTAGACACTACAATATTATTACTTAATACACAACTAAAACATCGTTGCTATTAGAAAATGTAAATGTGTGCGTCTAACAGACAAACAGCAAAGCTGTGCTGCAACTTATGTTGACACAAGACCCTTTTAATCGCTTCTTCTAGTTTAAGTTAATTAAAACCCTTGCTTCCTTTAATTATAATTATTTTACTGTAGTATTGAATTACTAATAAAATTATGTATTTATATATAAATTTGTTTTTATAGCGATGGTTCCACTCAGCTACTGTCAGGGTGTCTTCGCGACTTCAGGAACAAACCGTTCCCGACTCGTGCGCGGATAGAGTACTATCTCAACACACTAACTGTGTACTTCCATAATGGTAAGGATTATTAAGGCCAAATTAATTACCATTTCAAATCATAATTGTCGTGTAATTTAAAAATGGAACGATCTTTTACACCGCAACCGTCGGCGACCAAAGAGGTTACTTATTAAATGTTGAATTCAAATTCCGAACTGGCTGGCACTTAGAAAGCTGTTTAGTAAAAAAAATACTTTTATAAAACTATTGTTATATATTCTTCGTCAACTTCGTAATTAGTTTTAATGTTCTAAATAGTGTCATTTAGTTTTAATATCCGGGAATTATTTGACAAATGTACTATACATGCCTTGACCACAACTAGGCATTCTTAAAGTATATTTTTGGTAAACAAACACACTTTACATGAAATCTTGATTTTCTCACGAGGCTTACGTTTTATATTGAGGTCGTTTGGTCCATATATGATCGATATTTCTTTATCCCTGTGTAATCTGTGGCAACAACTGCACTCTATAAAAGTATAACATAGTTCTCTATGGTTTGATATCGGCCATATTTGTTGTGTTGTGGTCTTTTGCCAAGTTAGAAAAAATACACTATACGGCTTTACACGTTCGTCCATCAAAGCCTCTCTTGCCGGCCGTTGCAGTAATTTTGTTTCATTTCGCCGTAACTATGCTCAATATGAATGTGATCCGTTTTTATTTCAGGTCTCACAAACAACGAAGCTGATTATGAGCTGTGCTTCCGCGCTGAGAATGTTATGCTACCGCGTGGTGGGTTCTTCGGTCTGTCGGCTGCCACGGGTGGATTGGCCGATGACCACGACGTCATACACTTCTTGACCAGTTCCTTGTATAGCGCACAGCAGCCAGGTATGTCAAAATTGCTGTAAATAAACTGATAACGTTTGTTGATATTCTCATTATAAGGTTAAACTATCTCTGCCAGCAATTTCACCCGCGTGGAATAGTTCTTGGTGGTTGGTGGAAACCTCATCCTGTCTTCGTCAATTATAGCTGTTACACACGATGTCGGTCGCGTCAAGTCGTCCTTGCAACATAATCTTAAAAGATAGACATATAGCATCGCGGTTTTTTTTTAATCATTTAAAGAGAAATTATTCTTTCATACATATTTTTAGAACCGCTTTCGGGGCGCACGTAACGAAAATCCTTCAATGTGTATTTCCCCATCTTTTTCACATTACTACTGTTTCTTCGCTGAAATATTTTTTATTGTAATATTTTTAAAAAAAAAATCAAAAAAAAGAAAAAAAAAAATTTCAATTCGAACCAGTAGTTCGTGAGATTAGCGCGTTCAAACAAACAAGCTCTAGCTTTAAATACTAGTATAGATTTTACAAAATAATAAAAAACAGTGGAAGATTTATTTTTTATTTTTGTTGTGTCTATAAATAATATTTGTTCCATAGGCAGTCAACAGATCAGCAATGACGAACAGCAGAAACTGTCCCAAGAGTACCAGGAGTACCAGAAGAAATTGGAACAGCAAAAGGAAGAATACAGGAAGGAACATCCGGATGAAGTGAGTTAAATAATTATAGGTGTTTAAAAAAAGAGATAAGTGTTTTTAAAAATGATTTGAAATTTAAAAAAAAAATTACGACATGGGCGGGACTTGAAACGGAACCCACAGCGTTCCGTGTGTTCCGTGGAGGATTGGCAGAGGGTGCTAAGTCCTGCCCGTGTCGTAAAATTTTATCAATTTAAAATTGATTTTTAATTTATATACTTAATGCCACTATATGCAATAACGAGAAAATTCGAATACTAAATACACAATTTAATTTAATAACTTCAGATGCGCGACAAAGATGAAATGGACGACTGGTTCGAATCGGACGGACAGAGAGAGCTGAGGCAGATATTCCAAAGTCTTTCGCATATACAGGATGTTACCAGGGAGTTGCACAAGAAAGTGGACGAGGTAACATGTACAGCGTGTTCAAAATATTTTGTTTACTCTATTCGTGGTTATCACAGTACCAATTATTCACTATATATTTCAGGTTATTGGAAAGCAGATGAATTCTCTTTCAATGTTGTCAGCCGTTTACAGTCAATCGCAAGGTCAGCCAATACAAACCCAGCCAGGACAACCGATACAGGTGAATTTACCTTAAATAATTTTATCGTTTAAAAAACACGAAGCATTAATAATATTATATGTATATCATCTTGACAGGCTCATTGTTGTAATGGTTACAATGGATCGTGGGTTCGAACCCCACCCAAACCAACATTTTTAAAATTAATTTTTCTGAAACATGGACTTCATCTGGATTCAATGGGCGGTAGGAGTATCGTTATTCTGTCATCACGAACCACCGTCCACAAATAACAGGCCTTAAGTTTGAAACTATTATAATGATGGCATACTTTTTACGTTATGTATTAACAGTTAAAATCCTTTTTACCTAAATTAATCAGCCATTTAGCTAGTCCTCGTAAATTCCAAAAAATAAAACCTTCAACTCCAATATCCATATATATATAAATATTATATTATATTTGGTTATGTTTCAGGCACCTCAATTCCCTATAACCCGACACGACTGGGAAGTGTTCACGTCCAACAATCAGCTCTTGATACAGACCATCTCTGAAGTAAAGTTAGTTCTTTTTATTTCTCTTACCAAATATTTAAATCATATACAATTCCAGTATTATTATATACGTTTTATGATTAAAAGTGTTGTCGAGCATTCCGGTAAGCGCGAGAGATCCTGGCTTCGAAGACCAGAAAGAAACAATAGATTGTTTCAATCGGGCCGGGCACAGTAAAGAACTGATCAGGGAAATGGGCACAGAAATGTGTTTGTTCTGTTTTTATGTAAAAATCATTAAGATTTTAATCAAGCTTGTTTAGTGTCTTTTAACGATAAACAGTCGTTAAATCAAATGTCTCGCTTACAAATACCAGGCTAACAGTAAAATATCTACACTTGTATTCCAGATCGTTCGTAATAGAAGCGAACCGCAAATCAGACGCGCTCCTAGCGGGCGGCGCAGGCGCAGCTGCGGGCGCGGCAGGCGGAGCGGCAATTAACCCGCAGTTCTTGAACGAGCTGAGAGACAGCGTGAATCAAGTTAAGAGCAATCTAGCTGGTGTGTCACAAAGGTATGATATGAATATTAGCTATGATTCGCGACTTTGTTGGCGTGAATTCCATTTAAAAAACAATTAAACGCATTTATAAGCCTATACGTTGCTATGAGCTGTACATTTTCCTAATACATAGTTCTAATGTAGGAATTCTATATTATGAGGTTAGACATATTTTAGTGGCCGTTTCTGATTTTTAGACCTAAATGTGATTATAGAGAATCAGAGCTTTGCGAAATAAGTGAACCATGTCCAATAAAAACTTATAACTAAATAAAATCTTATAAATCAATAATCATTCCTTTTAAACGATCTGTCTAATATTCAAGTGTAAGATTTTTAAATAAAATAAACATTTTTATGCATATAAAATATAAACAGGTTTTTGTCTGTATGGATTACATTAATAGAGCCTAGAGAGTAGTCTAGGTTAAACCATTTATTTAAAATATGCAAAAGCAAAATAGGTCAACACCACATCTTCTCCAAATGATATGGTGATGGCAGGGATCTTTCGTGTTTCATCAAGAGAACCCCATGCTCTGTACTTCACTATCATAAAGACGAAAAAAAAATAGTTATAATAAAAATTGTCCAACATTTCAGATTATCGTCGCCCGCGCAACCCATGCAAGGTGGATGTCCGAGCGTGTCCTGTGTCTCAACGGGAATGTTATTACTCGTTCTCAGCGGACAACTGCTTGTATTGTTCCTCTATCAGTTGTACAAGTAAGTATATAAACACATACAATTATATTGTTCTTGCTTTTTTTCAATACTGTCTGTAGTTTACGCCAGTACTACACATTTGAATAAAACACTAACTGTTTCAAACCGTTAGTCAATTCTGCAAGAACCGGCCTGTTTCGCCAAATACCAACTACGACGGAACAGATGGCGCCAGCGTAGCGGTGTTTACTTTGATACCAGAGACACCCTCCATCTTTAATGTTCCCGTGACCACGGCTGCTGCAAAGCATCCGAAACGTCGGGCCTTAGTTAAAATAATTTTCAAAAAAGTTAAACTAATATATATCGCGTTTTAAACCGTTTAAGTGTTTTATTATTATTTTTTTTGTATAATTTCGTGTTAGTTATTATTTAAATAAAATATTTTCAACGTTAATACGTTTCGCGTTTTAAACCGTTAAGTGTTTTGTTTAAATTTTTCTGCAAGTTAGAAACTTAAGACAGATACTGTGGCCTAACTTATGGAAAGGAAAACCGCTCCGTTACGTAACGCGTTACGGCGCTGTTTGATTAGTATAATAAGTTAACCTTTTCTGTAAGTCTATAATGTGTTTTTTTACTTCCCAGGGAGAGAAAGGAAGCTCAAGCCAAGAAGTTCTTCTAAGTGTGAGTGTGTGTGTTTGTCCATTCCTCAAGAACGCTCGAACTGTACGATTAAGCTTCGGTTGTAACTATAGAGTGATTTTATATTTTTGTTAATTATTGTCGCAACAATTTTTGGATTTTTCTTCATCAACCTCATTATTCTGAAAGTGAGCCGTTTTGTAAGATAATGTATGTAATGATTTTATATTTGTTAGTTGTAAATGTAATATAAATTAAAATAATATTTTAAAATTGTGTCTATTTATTTCGGCGAAGGATCTAAGCATGGCTGGTAGTATAAAATAACTTAAGATATAGGTCGCGGCACGGATGTTTCGCGCTGAACGAATATAGTTGCGCATCGGTACAAAACGTGACTGTACTCGAGAAGCAAGCGGAGCATCGTATTGGTCCGAGAAAGACAACACGACTGGGGAACCAATCAATGTTAGCGCACATGATATTCCCTCGCCCCGCGCCCGCTTCCGTTCCTTCTATACCTTATTATTCACTTCTGCGCAGGATTCGTTTAGCGCTAAAGATCCGTGCCGCTACTTATACCAGAAAAATATGTTTGAGCTCCTAAATTACTTTAGTAATTCATTGATTGAAGCATTGTCTGTAGTTGACCTATATAGACACTTAAATAAAACACTTTTAACAGTTTAAAATGCGAACTATATTTTTACTTTCATTGTTTCGGATGCTTTAGAGCATTTGGCTTCGTGAGGACTAAATCTAGGTCTCAATTTTGCGTTCGAAACCGTTTAAAGTTTAATTTGAAATTATGTGTTTCTTATGACACAGAAGCTGTTTATATAATGGAGGTGAAATGTTTCAGCCGACCCATTTTTGTTTTGGTTCCTTCTAAATCAACATACTGAAGTTTATGCATTACCATCAAATATACTAAATGCTTTGTTGCGAGGCGCCTTGGTCTGATGGTAGCAATGTATATCAACGGGTCCAACATGATTTTTAATAAATTTTAAATTTTCTGAAACAAGTTGGACTCCGTCTAGAAATCTGCATATTAATTGGGTGGTAGAAATATCGATATTCCATCCGGGTCATGAACCATCATCCACATGAAAACTGTCAAGTTTAAGCGCGTTTCTGTTTCAGTCTGTTGATTTCCAAAAGCCAAAATTTGTCAGCGCACCTCGTTTAGATGTTATATTGTATGGTAAGCATAGGGTATATATGACAGTAGGCACCTAGCTCTGTCCTCTTCTATCGCAAAAAAGACTGCCTCAGTAATTAAAATATATTTCTATATCTTCGCAGGTATCTCAAAAGGGTAATAAGGATGGTTGAGCCACTTATGCTGCGCTATCGTTCTGTAGTTTTTGTCGTAACCACGCAACTGTTTCTTGTCTGCTTCCGTTAGAGAAAAGTCGAAGATGTCTATGTTCTGTTCGATACGCGATTTCGTTAGTGACTTCGGTAGCGGTATAACTCCTATCTCCACCTGGAAATATATTTTGAAGATCAAAATTGTTATTTAGCGCGTGAAATAATTAGTTCTCACTGATAGAATTGTCTCTATAATTTTTAAAAGTGTTGCTTGTATGTTCTTTTCCAGCCTTGCTGAACACAAGCTGGGTCTTATCCCTTGTAGCTCAAGGTTTAAAATTGTACTACATATTTTTTATTCTCCTCATTTTAAGATCTGTATTATTTAATAGTTGTGTCAGCGACTTCGGGCGCGAGAATCGTTATTTTGGGCAACCAAATTCGTTTTCCAAACCCGTTCACCTTTGTAAACTTAAGCAGTTAGTTACCCACGACGTCGGTTGCGTCCCTTCCCGTCGTTCTTGCAAGTTAATCTTAAAAGATAGACATATAGCTTCGCGGACTGTTTTTTAGATCATTTAAAGAGGAATTATTCTCCCATACATATTTTTTGGGTATCTTGAACCGTTTTTGCAGCACACGCCTCGGAAAGCGATAATGATGGATAATTTTTCCACCTTGTGTCACATTTCTCGCTGTATCTTCGCTCCTATTAGTCACAGGGCGATGTTTTATAGCCTATATATATGTGAAACTTGTCTGCATTTTGCATTAGACGAAACAAACTACTTACCAAATATCTTAAAGCTATCTGTGGCACTGTCTTGTTATATCTATTCGCCATTTCTACCATCTCTGGGTCATCTACCCTCGGAGGAGGTGCATCTGCTTTGGCTTTGTTGTGAAAGAGGGAGCCGAAAGGTGTATAGCCCATAACGACTATACTGTGACGTCTGCAATAATCTAGCAACGCTGGTTGTTGAAGATTCAAGTTAAGCTGAAAATGAAAGAAAAGCAAATATACGAAATTAAATTAGCGAAATAAATTTGAAAACTTTAGTAATTAAAAACTGTCTATAGTTTACGCGAGTAGTACACATTTAAATAAAACATTTTAACGGTTTAAAACGCGATATATTATTTAGTTAAACTTATTTGCAAATGGTTGCTGCAAAGCATCCGAAACGTCGGGCCGAAGTTAGAAATCATTTTCAAATAAGTTTAACTAATATATCGCGTTTTAAACCTTTAAAGTGTTTTATTTAAACTTTAGTAATTTTTACACGTGTATTGCGCACGACGGTATCCTATAATACATTAATCGACACGTTACGCAATATATTTAAGGTCTATTTTCTTAATCTTATAAACTCACTAACACTTTGAAACCGTGTTAGAGCAGTTAGGTATATTAAATATTAGATATACAAGCCGTAGATTATGTCTAAACTCCTTCTAGAAGATAGGATTTTACTTTAATTAAATTTTATGTATAATTTTCAAAATTTTACGGCGGCGAATAAAATTTGATTCTTTATTTTTAAACACTATATGAAAAGAGAATGTTGGCGAACCAGGTATGGCAGTAAGATTGTAATACTCTACCTCAACTTGCAACGCAGCTGGCTTCTCCAACTCATTTTCCAGTATCCTGTCTATCATTTTCTGGTTGAAGTTCGAAAGACCAATGGATTTTGTGAGACCTGCTTGCTTTGCGTCCATCATTCCTCTCCACGTGTCCAGGTAGTCTGTGCTGTCATAGCTATTGTTGAACTGAAACACGATTTATTTATTTTGCATAAAAAAACACATTAAACGGTTTAAAAAGCGAAATATTTAGTCCACTAATTTTTAATTTAATTGAACTTTTGCCCGATGTTTTCGATGATTTGCCAGCGTGGTCATGGGGAATCTACTACAAACATCCAAAACATCGGGCTTGTATTTAAATTAGACAAACAAACCCCGAGTTATATTTTTTTTATAGTATCTTACTGTTGTTTGCAAGACAATTATATGAAATAAATCAAACATTTAATGCTAGAGGTGAACTAAGAATCACTTGTGAAGTTATAATTTCTTATAAGCCGCTAACGTAAAGCGTTACGGTGTAGTTTACAAGATTTTTGTTGTTCCATTGGACTTCCCAGGCAAAATACCTCTGTCGGACCCAATAAAGACTATGAAACTAGCTTTTTCAGCTTTTCTTTTGAGCAAGTATAAACAAATATTTTGTTAGATGGGAGTAATGGTATTTTACTTAAGTAAAAGGTAACTTACGAACTGCCCAACTGGCCAGTGTATTAAGTACAAATCAACGTACTCCAGCTGCAAGTTCTGTAACGACTCCTTCAATGCTGGTATCACAGAAGAACGGGCGTGTTTGTCGTTCCAAAGCTAAAACAATTTAACAGAAGTTAGCGGTTTCAAGTGATTACAAGAATAAAAGTTGAAATTATTTCAAAGACTGCATATAGCTGCGCTGATGTTATATTCTCTATATTTAAAAAACCATTTTAACGGTTTCAAACGTAAGATTAGAAGTATTTTAAAATTAATTACGAACCTACGTTAACGGTACTTTATTTAAATGTGTACTACTCGCGTAAACTACAGACTATACTTATGTACATTTACTAGTATACGCCCGTGGGTTTCCTTGAAAAAAGTGATTTAAAAAAAAAAAAAAAAAAAAATAGCTTTTAAAACCTTAAAAATGTTTTTTTTAAATGTGAACTCGCGCCAACTATAGACAGTATTTGTTTAGACATCTTTACCACACCAAATGCGGGTTTTAAAAGTTACTATAGGCATCTGGTGTTAGTGAACAAAGTTGTAGCCCTAAGCTGGAACCTATTCTGTTGGAAAATTGTCATAATCATCCGTATAGTGTTTCAAGATTTTTTTTAACGATAGAGTAGGACAGACAAGCATCGGGTTTACTTGATGGGAGGTGAAATACCCCAACCATTAACATCGAAACAAGATACGCTATCGACCTATTTTGACTTTGGATGTTCGGAAATCCACAGACTAAAACCGAAACAGACATTCACGGTTTTATCACTTGTGGACGGCGGTTCGTGCCGGACGGAGTTTCGATATTCCCATCACTGAATTAATATCATTTAATACAACAATTAAAAAATTTGACCGTGGGGATAGAATAGAGCTTGATTACTACACTGCATTGCTATCAAAAAATGGCGTATACAAACAGATTGTGTTTTATAATTCTACTAGCTGAGCCGGCAAACGGTTTTGCCATATAAATAATTTTACTAAAATGCTATTAAAAAATAAGGGTTGATGTAGAAGGGTGAAAATTGAGGATTGAATTTTTGTATTTTGTATCATAAAAAAATAATTTTAAACATTTTGTCTAAAAAAAAGGGTTACACCTTCCCTTATCACTTAGGGAATGAAATAGATTTTTCAACCTATAAAACTATCTTGTGAATCGGTGCCTCGGAGTTCATTGAACTATTGTACAAACTATTTATATTTTTTTCCATATATATACCTTTGTAGTAACAAACACATTATCTCTATTTGCTTTCTTCAGGCCGCGCCCGACCTGGTCTTCCACGCGGTAAATCCAGGCAGTATCCACATGCTTGTAACCAGCATCCAAAGCCCATATCACGGCATTTTCCACTTCGTTAACGCCAGGCTCCACGCGACCATGTAATAAAATATTTTTTTATTATTTTATTGTATCTTTAAGTAACTTTGAGTTATCTTTTGAAGTACATAGGTAAAATCCTGTTTTGTGGGGCGAACCTGTATGTATTACACTGCGCCCTGCCTGACCGAAATACCGGGATTCAAATCCAGGACACCTCGTAATGTGTTTAACTGTTAGCTTACCTAAGTGAGCATTACATTTTCTCATGTGCATTGTATTACTATCTTTTCATGAAGTTCATTTCTTCTTCCGTTCTTTCTTACTTTTTTTTTTAGAAGAAGAGAGGTATAGGGTTTATTGATAGAAGGTGAAATACCCCAGCCATATAACATCTATACATGATGCGCTATCGACCTATTTTGGCTTTGAATGTTCGGAAATCCACAGACTGAAACCGAAACGCGATTAAACTTCAAACGTTATATAAATGATACCTTTGAATTATTGCCCAGCCAAGTCCCCAATGCTATAGCCGGAATCTCATATCCATCATTCATTTTGTAAGTTGGCGTTACCACTGCGCCATACTGAAAGAAAATATGAATTTCAATTTCTTAATAACTACAGTATAAAAAATTAAATTGCACTAAATTAACAAAACAAGTTGAAGCTGTTTTACTTTGACTGTGCCACTAGCGCCATCTATAGACAATATTGGTTGTTTATAAAAATATTGTTGTAGAATTATGTTCGTGGTTCTCTACTAAGCAAAACTTTTAAAAGAAAACGGTTTTTATCATATAAGTTTTGCCTTATTTAATAGCGAATTAATTAAAACATAATTACTCATATATTCAGAAGGTTTCTGGCATAAAGGCACATTAAATCTTTAAAAGTAGTGACCTTTAAAACCCAGCTTTTATAAGTGTATTAAGTTGAGACTTAGAAAAACTTACCGCCGCGGAAATGGACAAAAATGCACAAAGTAGAAGCAGCATCTTGCCTTACGTTGAGAGAATAACTGGTCGCGATTAGCAAACATCACCTAACGATTGGAGAATGGAGCATTCAGCGACATTGACCCTTGTTTCTCGATAAACTAGCTTTATCGTGAGCCGACAAGTTTACATGTTACTGCTAATTTGATAAGTCCCGGACACTATTGATAATGGCCAAGGCCGTTCGTATTAGTAGTAGAGTAACTAGCTGTTTTCGCGACTTTGTCCGCGTAGTTTAGTTATTTTAGGTTTTTTACAATCTAATCTTAAAAGATAGACATCATACTCATTTTATTTATTGTCCCAGACATTTCTTAGATCATTTAATCAGTATCATTCTTTCATACATATTTTTTGGGTACCTATTCCCGTATTCGGAGTGCCCTTAACGGAAACATTTAAAGATGAATAAACTTCTCCGTATTTTCCACATTTCCCACTTTCCTCCTATTCTCCTAGTCGTAGCATGATTTCATCCTCTAAAGTTTTCCTCGATAACTGCTCTAACCAACACACATAATTATTCAATTTGAACTAGTATTTTCTGAGATTAGCGTGATCAAACAAAAAAACTTTTCAACTTTATAATATTAGGAGTACACACTTGGTCACATTAATAAAATAGGTGATATAGTTCAGTGTTTTTCTTTATTAAACGAAATTTCGCTTACAAAATTAAAAAAAAAGTAAAAAAAAAGCTATTGATCAAAGAAGTTACAAAATAAACAGTTGAGAATGTAATAACATCATAATGGCCGGTCCGAGTCATTCAAACTGTTTCAAACACTGACTTATTACATGGCTCTCAGACCGTCGGGCATTATCAGTAATAGCCAGTGAAAGGGATAAATTATTCGCCCATTATTAAAAATGACCTGTACTTATAATTAGTGCCCAGTTTATCATTTTACCCGTAACATACACACGAAAAACGATTAGTGTAGTGTTTATAAACATACCTACTCCTTACATCAAGAAACACAGGTTTTTTCTTAACACTTAGCACTTTTAGAAATGTTTAAAAACACTTTATTACGTAATAGCTAAGGAACACAAGACAACCGGATTTAAAAATCTGTTTTGAATTGTCTGTAGTTTTCGCGAGAAGTACACCTTTAAAATACCCCTTTAACCTACCAACATCGTAAAATCAAGTGAGAAATCTTGTTTTGGACAGAAATGTGTGTCTGTTTTGCTAATTATTTAAAAGGCAAGTGTTGATCTGACTGTGCCCTGCCTGACTGAAACTATTTCCGAATATCTAAACCCGGGGGTACTTACCCTGCTATCAAATGAATACGCTTCTATATTTAAAAAAAACACAATGTTTCACAGCACTTAATTTTTGAAAACTTCAATATATTCCATATTAGGTATGTTCTAAACTATATATTATACACTTTAGTTAGTTACATATTATATATATCACGTTTTAAGCAACAGTATTTTATTAACCAGTACTGCGGCTGGAAAATGCAAACAAAGTTCGATAACTAATATATATCGCGTTTTAAACGGTTCCAAGTGTTTTATTTAAATGTGTACTAATCGTGTTAACAACACAGTATTTAGTGGCTTAACAATTAAATGTACTAAAGTAAAATACGATTTTAGATTTTTAAAAATACGACATGGGCAGAATTTAAACCGGCATCTCTATACTACTTTCTCAATAATGTAAACACGGTAGCTCAATTGGCTACAGCAACAGCCCGGAACGCTGTGCATGCCGGTTCAAGTCCTGCCACTGTAGTAAATCTTTTCGATCTAAAATCGATTTTCAATTTATATCATTGTAGTTAAGAACACGTGGAAGATATTAAACTTTTCAAAAATTAAGTGCACTGTCAAACATTGTTTTTTGAGATAGAAGAGGACGCGTAGGGTTCATTCGATAGAAGGGGAAGTGTCCCGGGCTTTGGATATTCGGATATAGTTTCAGTCAGGCAGGGCACAGTCAGATCAGCACTTTAACTTAGTCATCATTTTATTGTTTTTGTCTGCGACTTTACAAGATGATAACTCATTAGGTATGCTAATAGTCCCAGCAATGATTGTACACTAATTACTTACCATATAATGATTATCTTTGCGCAATCTATAGTAGATCCCTACTGCGTAGTGTAAATTTATGTTGTTCTGTGGGAAAATCTGATTTTCCGAACATAATAAGTATCGTTAAACAAAAAATATACTAGAATTATAGTTATATTAACACAACCCTAAACACGCTATCTACGCTAAACAATAAATTGGCCTAAGTAAGTACGTATAAATTGAAGAACAAATAAAATGTCTGTGTAAATAGATTTTAAATTGGTATTTTATTTTTAATATATAAGTATATATATGGTCACTGACCTGAGCAAGCTGAAGTGGCAATGGGCTGGCCACACCGCTCGTTGAACTACCGGCTGTTGGGGCAAAAAGGTTCTGGATCGCAGACCACGTATCGGACGTCGAAAACCTGGACGACCTCCCACCAGGTGGACCGACGACCTGGTCAAGCTAGCAGAGAAACGCTGGATGCAAGTAGCGAACGAACGGTCGTACTGGAAGTCTATGGGGGAGGCCTATATCCAGCAGTGGACACCGAAGGGTTGGATCGATGTATGGTTCTTAGTAAAACATGTTTAAGATTAAAACGTGTTTTTTAAGGAAAACGTGTATGTACCAAATATTAATAATTTAAAGTAAATTAAGTAAGAAATTATATCCATAAACTTAATAGCTTTTAGTATTGACCACTTAGGGTCAAGAAACTATCTTTTTTAATATGCCGATGTGTCGGGTCAGGTGTGTTTGATGTAAAAAGCTCGTTGTCAAGGTCGATGCTGTCAACGAGGACAGAACATAGATAAGTTATTAAACAGAACCTCTATATTTATACAAACCTTCAATATCACGTAATTATGATTTTATTTTATATAAAAGTTAATCGGATAAGACTGGAATACAAAATACAATATTTGTAGTTGCGTTTGTATAGTCTTTATTTTGTCCATAAACAATTTACCGTGTTGCGTTTATTTTTACATGAAACAACTTATTCTAAAAATAATTTCAACACACATATGTGGTGTAGATAGAGTCCTTAGTCCCCTATACTAGAGCAAGACTCTATTCCAAGTATCGTACAATTAACACCCTAAAGCAAACTTATGTATGTATACATAAAATTAATGTCTATTTTGATGTATGAAAGAGTGGGTATTTGCACGTTGTGTGCGTTAGTGTGTGAATGAAGTGAGTGAAATTTTGTGTTTGCTTTTTTATTTTTGTAATTATTATCAAATATATACCGTAAAATGTTGACCATACTGAAAGTTATAATCGATAAGGAACTCATTTAAAACATTTATATTTTTACAAAATAGTAAACTCAAGCCTATCTATTAGAAAATCCTATATTTTTATTTAAACATATTATACGATGATTAAAAAACAAGTTTTAAACCTTGATATTAAATTTTATTTAATCTTAGTTACAATACAAACGACCGTATTCTGTCAACTTTTCAAAACAAGATTTCCTCTATGAGGCATTGAAACAGTGCCTCTAGATGTCCTTCAGTGATTTAATCTTTGATACAATGCAAAAGAATATATTGTTGTTACGAAGGTATTATGTAGTATTATAGTGGATACTAAAGAACGGTCAACACGTGTTACAATTCTTTAAAAATGTGGTGGTTAATTTTCACGTTGTTTGTGGCGAAAAATGTAAGAAAATCTCCTTATAATAACTTTTATATATAACATTCATAGTTTAATTATATTTTTGGATAATCATTTATTGCTTACTACATAATATCTACGTTTAATTTTTAATTTCAAAGTTCAATTCATGGATTTAATACTGTCGTTATTTAAGTATATATTACAATCCATGTCTACTTTAAATACTTTTTCTATATTTAATATAAAGCCCGTTAAATGCTTTATTTTTTATTCTCGTTCTAGGTGGCCAGCAATCCGGGCTTGGCCCCTGAAATAAAATTGAGGGATGGATATTTGATGCCCACTTTTGGGTTGGGTACTTGGCTTGGTGTAACTAAAGAGGTGAGTGTAAAAGTTTATATGTATCATAAAAAAACTCCTTCGTTGCGAATTTGTATGCTTGTCGAATTTTAGTTCCTAGTATTCACAAAGCACCAATTATAAGTTTAAGCAAGTAGTACACATTCAAATAAAGCAATTCTAAAGGTTTAAGTCATGTAATATATATTTGTAAACATATGTTTATAACAGGGCACAGAAAAAAGTTATCTAATATATTTCGCGTTTTAATCCTTTAAAATGTTTTAAACAAATCAATAAATGATAGTATCTTCCCGCTCATTAATTATTATATGTGATTATAATACAAAGGCCTTACCAAAGTAAACTTATTTACACTTTCAGGGTTCCTTGAACGAAGTACAAGACGATTCGGTAGAGAAAGCTGTCGAAGCAGCTATAGACTCGGGGTATAGGCATATAGATACTGCTTCCCTCTACAAAACTGAGCCCCAGGTAAGTGAAGCCTTTCGAATACGTTGAGAGGATCTGAGCTTTAAGAGGCCCCGAAATTGTAAAATTAAGTTAATAATTTTATTGCCCGATATATTGCATAGGTTAGCTAGAGGCCCTGTGTTTAAGAGGCTCCAGAGTTGTGAATTCATTTGGTTTTACATTTAGCTCTGTAAGGCGTCTATTAGATATTTATCTTTAACTATAAGGACTAACACAAATTTAATGCTGATTAACTCTTCCATACAGCCTCTCCTAATGTGTTACCTAAAATTACCAAAATTATTTCACTATCTAAATTGCTTATCGCGCAAACTAGGTGACGTTTCATTGTTAACAAACCGTGTGAAGGGAAAAATATTGTCGCATTATAATAATTATATAGTTATGAAAAGTTTAAATATGGCGTTTATATCCAAAAATGTATTGTCCGTTAAAATCCACGCAATGTAGCGATTATTAATTCACGGCTAAATGATGCAAGGTCCATAGGCTTTGTTGTTTAGTTATTATGATTACTTACTTGCCATTGTTGTTTTAAGTTTGTGCGTAATGTTATTGGCCTTTATAGCAACTTGCTGACCTGGCGTTCTGTTCACATGACTATTACCAGAAAAGCGGTTCTTGTGTCGACATCTTAAAACATAGAGATTTATTGTCGCGGGCACTTTTAAGAATTATTTAAAAAATAAGAATGCTTCTGTACAAATTTTTCGCACATCGGCTTCTTCGCTCTTATTGGTCGCAGTTTGATGTTCCTCGATAAATTATCCAACTAATACGAACATTTTTTTTTCAATCGAACCCGCAATTCTCCGTTGTGCGTTCAAACAAATAAACGTTTTTAAATTTAAAAGATTACATTTACTGCGCTGATAAAGATACAATTAAGTACTTATTTAAAAAAGAAAGTTTAAATTAAATACACAAACAATAAAAAAAGTTTAAGGTCATTGGCTTATACACATTATTTTATGCTAGTTGTCTTTTTAATGTTTTAAAATGTATGCATAGCAAAATAATATGTTTCAGGTTGGAAAAGCAATTGATAAGAAAATAAAAGAAGGTGTTGTAACAAGAGAAGAAGTGTTTGTAACTACTAAGGTACGTTCACCAAAAAGAAAAAGGAGTTCTCTTTTATTTCTAAATTGGTCATTGTCAAGGAAAATTTCTGACTCTTCACTAATCCATTTTATTCACAGACAAAAAGTTTATCTATTATCCTGACCTATAGTTATTATTATGATTTCCCAGCTTTGGACTGACCATTAAGTCAAAGTTGGTCGACAGTGATCTTTTGGATGTAAATGGCTGGAGTATGTCACTCACCATCTAGTGAACTCTTTGACCCGCCTTGAAATAAAAAATCGTTCTTTAATTCTTTTTTTAGCTTTGGGGTGATCAGCACGCTAAAGAACAAGTGGTCCCTGCACTTAAAAGCTCCCTTAGGAACCTCACTATGGACTACTTGGATTTATACTTAATACATTTCCCCGTTGCAACTAAAGTGAGTATATATTTTAATAATACTTCATTTTTCAATAAAAATATTACCAAATGTAACGTTATGGAAAAAATAAGTTCATTTATTCAAATATTATATATTTATTCTCTTAAATAGGTAAATAATGTCCAAAGATTATATGGAAGATATGTTCCTTCTCGTTTAAATAAAATAGTTTCGGAATTTTTTTCGATTCGGCATTTCAGATACGGTGTAGTAACCGTGTTTAGTAAACTATAAATGAATTAACTAATAAAAGTGACCTATTTAAATATGAACTACTCGGATAAACTAGAGATTGTACTTACATTCTTCTCATATTTATTATAAATATATTACTGAAATCTTATATCATGTCACAGGGTTTATCTTTCATACCAGACGACACAGACTATTTAGAAACATGGCACGGTATGATAGAGGCTCAGAAACAGGGTCTCACCCGGTCTATCGGAGTTTCAAACTTTAACGAGGAGATGATAGAGAGGCTTATCAGGGAAACCGGAGTCACACCGGCTGTGTTACAAATTGAAGTATGTTATTATTATTTTATAAGTAATTTTTGTTTCGTTTGTTTAGTTCAGTAAATTTAAATCACTGAATTTACATGATCGCGGACATGTCTTTTGTCAATTCTCTAATAGATTGTATATTAACACGTGTTAGTGTATATCAGAGCATTGGAACATAAGAGCAGTGTAGATTAATTTACTATATCATTCGCATTTAATATTAGATATTTTTACTATGTTGTCAGATCCACCTTAATCTGCAACAACCGAACCTCCTTAAATACTGTAGGGAACGAGACATCGCAGTCATGGGCTACACTCCGTTCGGGGCCCTATTCCCTAGCAAAGCCGCGTCTGGGGCTCCACCGCCAAGAATCGACGATCCGGCCCTAGTCAAAATCGCAAATAAGTACAACAAAACAGTACCACAAGTTGTACTTAGATATATTGTAAGTTTTATTTGTAATCAAACAAATTTATCTATCTATATTTTCTTCGTTCCGTGGACCATTTCCATGGTAGAATTAACACATATGTCTAGAAAAGTGTGACATGGGTCTTGGATTCTGAAAACTAGCGATTATAAATATAATCGACTAGCAAAACTTAAAAGACATGGGCTTTCGAGCACACATAGTTCACAGGTCTTGTACATTTATATTCCGTACTGTACTTAATACTCCAAAATTACCTTAGTTGTGATAAATAAACAAACTTTAACGGTGATCAAACATCGATATATTCGAACACGCTAGTATGTGTCTAAACAATTACAATTATCCGAAAATTGTTTTTCACTTCGGCCAACGGAAACGTTTCGCAGTAATATTAATAGCGTTCAGGTTAAATCCATGAAGTTAAAGTGTTTTATTTCAATTAGTCTGGATCTCAATCTGCAAAAATTATAGACATACTTAAATGTATCGCCATTGCTACATCTTTAAACTAGTTCCAAAGTATTCCTTGTAGTCATACAAATGCAAAAAGACCCATTTAAGTTTTATATTGTATATATTTTTTATTTCAGTTTGAACTAGGCGTCGTGGCCATTCCGAAATCGGTAAAAGCATCCCGTATCCGTGAAAATATCGATATATTCGATTTCTCACTGAGCGACGAAGATAAGCAACTCCTGCGCAGTTACGACGCCAACTATCGAACAACTACGGTGCCCTTCTGGAAGGACCACCCGTACTATCCTTTCAAGCCGTGGTAAATGTATACTAAAAGTAACAAGACCGAGCTATGTTCTCACGTTTTTACAAAATTAAAGATATTATTTCATTTTCTGCAATAATAAAAAACTGCACGTTTCGTCTACAACAAACACTTTTTCTTTCTTTCAATATATTCAGTTCTTGTTGGTTGCTAACAAGTAATAGTAAAAACATAATCGTTTTTAAACATTTTAGTAAACAACACCCCCCTTTCAAAATATTTTGTTTCTCTATCTAGATGAACAAGATTTATTACATTTACAAGGATATTCTGGAAATAACGTTTAAGTTTTCTACATTTACATTACAGTTACAAAGATTTAATAATTTTCGCAATTTTTTTCAATCATTCTCTCGGTAGATATTTAAATATATACCAAATGCCTCAACAAATGTGTACACACACACTTCCCCTCTCTCTCTCTCTCTCAAACAGACACACACTTATTATCCTTCTCTCTTACACTCAATCTAAACCTTATTCATCAAGAGAACTAGCTGTCAAGATACATGATAAACAATAGTAAGAATATATTTTTGATCCACGGCTCGTCACGTGCAGCATTGTTGCACCAACTTCCTGTGCATACGCAGGCGTGGAAACGGGCAAACAGAGATATTCCTCTAGACAGTGGAACGAGCGTGGCCATGGGACTTACAATGCAACCGTTGTCAACAGCCTGAAAAATTAAGATGTCATAGTGATTTATTTGTTTGGGTGGATGAAGCGTTTCGTTACGTAACGCGTTACGGCACTGGCATGTCTTGCTTGCTCTCACGTATACGTATAATAGTGTAATGTAGATAAAATTAAGTTATCACTTTTGTCAAACCTCCTGCGACGCGCATGATTTTTATGTTACGATTTTATTTTTATGAACAGAATTTTTACACAATCAGGATTTGAACTCCGGACCCTACATTGAAGTCGAATCTAATGTCTAAATTGACGGGCTCGTTGGTCAAATGGTAGCAATGTATGCCGAATAATCAACGGGCCGTGGGTTCGATCCTTACCGGGTACAATTTTTTTTAAACCAAATTATAATTATAATTTTTCTATTGCAATATGTTGGACCTCGTTTGGAAATCTGGATATTGAATGGATGGTAGAACTATCTAAATTACGTCCGTGGGTTTTAGTCTGTGGATTACCGAATATCAATCAAAGCCATAACAGCTCGACAGCGCATTTTATTTAGCTGTTATATGGCTGGGATTTCATCTACCACCAAATGCTGGGTGTGTGGAGATGTCCTTCTCTATCATAAAAACATTTTGTAAATACCATCAGTGACATCTCTAGTCTCGCCATACGCTTGCTCCCGAAGTGCTGACCCATGATGGCCTGGTGACGGCTGCGGCAGGTCCGCTGAGTGTAGATCCCGCTGAGGTCGATCCACCTTACCGCGCACCCACCAGTCCATCGACCGAATATGGCTCGCGGCTGCGTGCTGTTGTATTTGTAGCCTCTACTGTAAGTCAGAAATTCTGCATGAAACATGTTAGACTTCCGGAAGCTTACAAACGTGTTCCCAGGATTTTTTTTATAATAGAAGAGTACATTTATTTTGGTTTAGGATATTCGGAATTCCAAAGACTGAAACCGAAATGCGATTAAGCTTCACGGCTTATTCATCTGTGGATAGTGTTTCCTGACCCGGACGGCATTTGATATTCCTAACCCCCATTCAATATCTAGATTTCCAGAAGTCAACCATAATTTAGAAAAATTTGAATCTAAAATCGACCATTTAATTTATATAACGCCATCATGTGTTTCATCAAAGTTTTCAAACATTATAACTTACATGTTTTGATATTTGCAATATTTTCGGAACTTTGATATCTGTGCCCTGGCGGTGGGGTCCACTGGGACCATTGGAATGAAGTCCCCAGCAAATGCGTCTGCGCATGGTGCGCTGCGCGGTACGCCGGTTTCTTCTAAGCCGCAGACGAAACACTGAAATTTTAATTTTAACGCTTGCTAAGTGAAATCGTGTTTCTTGAATACCTAGAGTTTCCGTTTAGGGCACGTAGAAAGAAACCAATTTAACGGTTTAAAAAAAAGCCGCAAAGAATCCGAAACGTTGGGCCGCGGTTAAATAATTCCTAAAGGTTACCTAAGACGTTTTAAACCGTGTTTAAAAAGTATTTTATTAAAGTACAAGTTGTTTCTTCAATATGAAGAGTGAGCAGACACATATTTGTGTCTATTTAAGAGTAACCTTTTAGGGCAAGTTTAACCATAGTTGTGCAATGGCATCTTAAAATAATAAAAACGTAAAAATTCAGTTGAGTTTAAAGTTAGGCGATCAATACATAAAATAAGATACCTCTTATGTATGGCGAACAATATTAGATAAATATTTTTAAACTGCACCTACGACTTTGGTTATTTATTTTTGCGAACAACCTCCCCCCGCTTTGTTATAGCTGTTACCCACCACGTCAAGCGCGTCCCGTCGTCTGTAGATAGACATATTATACAGTCGCGCACATTTTTTCTTATATATTTTTTTTTTGATAATGTTTCCCGTTTTTCCACATTTCCCACTGTTCCTTAGCTCCTATCGGTCGCAGCCTGATATTTTATAGCCTAAAGCCTTCTCCGTTAATTGCTCTAACCGACACAAAAGTAGTTCCTGAGATTAGCGCGTTCAAAAAACAAACTCTTTATCTTTATAATGTTAGCGTAGATTTACAACGCCTACCTTCGCTATAACAGTACCAGTAGCGTTAGCGTCGTACTCCGACGTCGTCTGTCTGAACGGCGTGAAGGTCTCACAAGTGGGAATGGACATCAGCGACAGTGACTCGTTCAGTTTCTTGGTTAAATTGGTCTCGTAGTCCTCCGCGAGAACCGCTATCAGGTCCAACAGAGCTGGTACGTCGATGGGCCATCTAAACACAATGATAGATGGTCAAGAACATTTTGTCTCTGATTATTATTTAAAAATATTGCCTTTAAATTAGTAGTTTACGCGAGTACACATTTCAATAAAACACTTTAACTTTTTAAATGCGATATTATTATTTAAACTTATTTGAAAATTATTTGCGGCCATGGTCACTGGAAGTGTAGCCATGACCACGACTGCTGTAAAGCATCCGAAACGTCGGGCCGTAGTTAAAATAATTTCGAAATAAGTTAAACTTTAAACTGTTTAAAACGCAAATGTATTTATTAAACTTTACAAATTATTTAAACTAGGGCACGGTGAAGTTTAAGAAATAAATTTCGCGTTTTAAACTGTTAAACGTGACTCATTTTAACTGTGTACGACTCTCGTAAAATACAGACAATACTTCATAAAATAATTTAAGGTTCGCTTAAGTTATCACAGAAAATCAAACGTTCTGAGACGCGCATGATTTATTACGCGCATTGACTAATCTTACTTAGCTGTAGGGCGGGTAGATGGCGTTGAAATCAATGTCGTCTCAATTGTGTCTGTAGTTGTTTCCTCAGTAGTAGTTTTCTTATCCTTATTTCTCTTCAATCTTAAATATTGGACAATTGGCTCTATTTCTAACGCCAGTGTTGTAATATTAACTTCCTCATATTGACCACCATCGTCGACGTTTGATGTAACCGCGTTCTCATCAGAATTGCTTAGGAGTTGCTTAAGGGCTTCTGTAGTTTATACAATTTCATGTTTTAATATAATAAGAACAACTTATCTATTATATACTTATATACAATGTCGGCGATAAAAAGTTTCCGTCGGTAAAGAGACAAATATCAGATATTTGTAAAGAAAATTGTTGTGTGAAACAGACACAGAAATATATCTGACCCGTACTCAGCGTAGAGGAATAACGTTCTCCATTAAAATATATAGTTGTTTACGCGAGTGGTGATCAAGTACAATACCTTTAACTGTTTAAAACAACATTTTTATATCTAAAACGCTTTTCATCTGTCTTGTGACCACGACTGTTGTAAACCATCCAAAAAGGCAAATCTTGTCTATACTATTATTATAAGGCTAAAGAGATTATTTGTTTGGACGCGTAAATCTCAGGAACAACTAGTTATAATTGTAAAATTATTTTTGTATTGGTTAGAGCATTTATCGAGGGAGGCTTTAGGCTATGAAACACCGTACTATCAATAGGAGCCAAAAAAAGGTGCATGAGCAAATACTGGAAAATTAATTATGTCTATCTTTTAAGATTAACTTGCATGGACGGGATGCCGACAAGGTCATGGGTAACAGGTAAAATTCATGAAGTTGTATGAATAATTAAATAATTTAATGCTAAAAATAACTATTCCACACAGACGAAGTTGCGATCGCAGCTAATATAATATATTTCACATTAGAAACCGTTAAACGTTTTACGCTAAGTATTATTATTTATTGTCAATTGATTGTCCACTTCAAAGACAGACTTATAGATACTAAGCTTATAAGCTTCCTCTTACTAAAACGTCGTATCTCTCTTTAATTACTTACTCTACACCAAATATGATAAGAGTGAATTACGAAGCAAATTTTGTCTTCTAAAGTACCTTTAACTTCTTGCATCTCTTGAGCATTTAGCGTTTTAAGTGTAGACTTGGAAGGGTACCTTTTCGCTCTAGGTGTGGCGACGTTGGGGCTTTCTAAAACAAATTTCAAGATAAATGCTCTTCTCTGTCTTATCTTTAAACTTACTCTATAGCAGCTGTACCATCTTCATAGTAATTGTCATATTCCACTTCATCGTATTCATACCCAGTGCAGGCCAAAATAAATGAGGACAGACTTAACAATTTTAAAAGCCACATATCTCTGAAAAGGGGGGGATCACATATCTACATTAACTGGTAGTTTTGATATCAAGAACACATCAATGTAGTATTAAATTTAAATTAAAAATAAGTTAAACTATCACAAAATCATCACAGCGTTGACAAATTTCATCTGACAGAAAATTTTGACAAAACTCTGTCAATTGAATGAACTCAAAATTTTTGAAACATTATACTTGAAAATTACACATCTGCTCTTAGATAGTATCTTACATGAGTGGTTCATTTTTAAAAAAGCACTTTTACTTGTTTAAAACGCTTTAAATATCGTTCGTTTAGACGACGTCGATGGTGCATTAGCTGTTTCCTAGGAGTATCGCGCTGCAACGGCATAGATTATTTAGCGTTTTAAACCGTTAAAAATGTTTCTTTTGAGTCGGTTTTTATCATTGATGCCTGAAAGTAGCGTAATAGTTAGTATTTAGTTATCCATACACCTGATTTTATTTCCTGATTACACTAAAACCAGCTCTTTACAATATTCTGAAAAACATATAAGTCCCTTCAAACGATAGCCGTGAGATATGATATTATGACTGCGCAAAAGGACCTACCATTTATTTTGTCTCAAGTAAATAACAAAATCTCTATTGTTACATTTTCAGTGTTTCCCTTCACATAACTATCAACACAAACAAATTCATAACCAACCGTATATCCTAGACAATAAGCTTTATAATCGTTTGATATATAGAAAAACCCTTGGCGCCACCCAGACACGACTGCGCCATGAAAAATCTATATATTCTCTCCATTCAAAAATAGATTTTATTTCTATACTTTTATGGTCGAATTTGACATGTTTAGCTGATTGTTTCAGATTCAACGTAGCCTTTACTGAATGTAGTATAGGGGCGAAAATCTTTTGGCGTTACGTAACATTTTTGTTTAGTAGGATAAATATAACTTATAAGAAATTAGGATACATTTTATAATGTATATGTTAAATACTGTCTGTAGTTTACGCGAGTAGTACACATTTAAATAAAACACTTTAACGGTTTAAAACGCGATATATTTTAGTTATAATTTATAAAGATGATTTGATGTCCTAAATAACTACTCTACGCGGACGAAGTCGCTGACACATTATTAAAGAATACATTTCGAGTTTTAAACCGCAAAACAGTGTTTTATTTAAATATATCCCATGTACATGTATCGTAGCAAACTTTAATTATCATTAATAAATTTATGTCTAATGTATGTCCAAAGTAATTGTAAGGTCTCTCAAACTCGGTTCGCATGGTGTCCCTAGCTAAGGCGCCAGACAGACGGGCGTCCTGGCGCAGTTTCAGCTTCCGCATACAGCCTATTATAGTAGATTTATGTTTATCGCTAAACTTCTGCTCTCCTAATACCCGCGATAACAATCCTGCGGGGAACTAGACGACTATTTTTTTATTTAAACTTTTCCCTTCCACGGACGGGAAAATTAAGTTCGCCAAATCGAGGAAATGAAGAAAAGTGCTTTTGCGACAATCAACTATTACTTAATAAATAATTTGGACGGGCTCAGGTGTTATGGTAGCACTGTATGGCTAACAATCAGCGGGTCTTGGGTTCGGTCCCCACCGGGACCAACATTTTTCTAATCAATTTATAATTTTTCTGAAATAAGTATATAGAATCTGGACATTAAATGAGTTGTACGAAATACTGTCTATAGTTTACGCGAGTAGTACACATTTAAATAAAACACTTTAACGGTTTAAAATGCGATATATTATTTAAACTTATTTGAAAATGATTTTTAACTTCGGCCCTACGTTTCCAGTCTCCCCGTGACCACGGCTGCTGCAAAGCATCCGAAACGTCAACGCCAAAGTCAAAAATCCTTTTCAAATAAGTTTAACTAAGGGGCCGTTCAAGTATTACGTAAGCAGATTTATTACAATTATTTACCCCCCCCCATCCCCCTTGTCAGCAAAAGTAAGCAAAGCTTTTACCCCCTCCCCCGTGCTTACGTAAACATTTTTCAATAAAAATGTATTTTTTATATTATAAGTATAATTTTAAAAATAAGAAAGTGATTTGATTTAAAAAGTAAATAAATATCGATGACGTAATCATCATCTGGACTCCCCTACCCCCCATGTCATCAAAAATAAGCAAAAAAAAGACCTCCCCACCCCCCTATAGTGCTTACGTAATACTTGAACGGTCTCTAATACATCGCGTTTTAAACTGTTAAAGTGTTTTATTTAAATGAGTTGTTCGAATATCGAAATTCCGTCCGGGTCAAGAACCCGGACGGAACGATTCACGAATGAAAAAGCCTTAATGACGTTTCGGTCTGAGACTATGGTTTTCCGAACAGCTAAAGCCTAAATAGGGCTACAGGGCATCTACCATCAAGTCAACCCCAAGCTTATCTGTCCTCCTCTATAATTGAAAAAAGTTAAGGTCGCCATTAGTGGAATATCGAGGAAATAAAGTGCTTCTGCGACAACTACTTAACTAATAAATCACAGAACAATTTTTTGTATTATTCTAAGTTCAGTAAGTTGTTTTTCATCACAATCAATTTCTCGTCTCTGTGCCAACTTGGCAATTTGCCTGTTCAGTAGTTTGAACCGAACAGCTTTCAATTTGTGTTTGCGACGTTAAAAAAAGTACTACATTTCGCCGTTTACTGCACTCTGAACAATTTTTGGTAATTTTTCTTTCATTACTGTCTGTAGTTAATAACGCGAGTAGTACTACGCGTTTTAAAACGCGATATATATTAGTATTAGTGGAGACCCGTGACACGGTTTCTGCAAAGCATCGGAAACGTCGGGACGTAGTAAAAATATTTTTAAATAAGTTCAAGTAATATATATCGCGTTTTATACCGTTAAAGTGTTTTATTAATAAAAATGTAAGCGATTTAACTTAACGGATACATGTGCATTGAGTATTTAACGATGTAATTTAAAATTATAAGATGGATGTTCAACACGTCAATGGCAAAGGCAGATACATTTTTGTGTCCGCTTCTACTAAATGATGTTCAACTTGTAATTTATATTATTTTCACATGTTCATAAGCAATCAATGCCAAAAATGACAATCTTAGATAGAATTTTAATTCACATACAAATATTTTGTCAATCTCAAGCTCTGGCGAACCGAAATATTATGTTTTTAGGGATTTTTACCCCATAACCCCTAGCGGTTAGTTAGGCAATGCGTTTTAACACTAAACCAAAAAATGCCTATGATATTAAAATAGCAGTTTATTCTAGTTTTATATATTATAAAGCTTCGCTTTTCATCGCTTTTGAATTTACATTGAATAATATGATCTTTATTAAGAATAATTAAATGTATCTGAAATAATCTAAACGGTATAAATAATGGTTATTCATAATCATTATAAAAATTTACGAATCTCTGAAAGGAGGTAGTTTGGATTAAATGAAACACGGGAAGATCAAGGCTGCTGCAAGGCATCCAAAACTTCCGTAGTTAAAATAATCATCAAATAAACTTAACTTATATGTATTGCGTTGTAAACCGTGGTTTATATTAATGTCTCTCGCCACTCGCGTGAACTACGGATAGTAGATATTTCGATTTAATGATTGTTTTTCTTTTATGACAGAGATGAATTGGTTAGCAATTTTATCTGTATTTTATATATATATATATCTTTAGTAGAAATACATACATAGTAGATGTTTTCAATATATACTTAGTTTATAGAAAACACTGAAATTCGTAACGAATAAAAGATACGCGGGGTGTATGCGCGACAAAATGGCCGCCGTCTGCCCACCTGTGGATCTCTCTCGCTATTGGTTCGCTCTGCCCTACCTTGGCACTTTAAATTTTATATCAAAGAACCTTATTTACCTTCAGCCTTATTGATTTTCAGTGGTAAATAGCTCTTAGCGGGGAAAAATTATGTACGTGGCTTGAGTGAAATTTGATACCTATAAAATAGATGATAGTTATAAATTGTAAAGGGTTTTCGCGGCCATTTTGAAAAGCTATTCGCCTGTCATCTTAACGATTTGGTTCTCAATGTTTCTCCATCTCGAGTGGACTGCATCAATAGGATATGATGAACATTCCTCGACGCTAAGACTGAGTTATGTCTAAATTACGACGACCGAAGCTCAAAAATTTTCATCAAATATAATTTAATAACTGAGACGTTTTTTTTAATAATAGAGTTTAAAGTTCTCTTGATGTGAGCTGAAATACCCCAGCCATCGCATCTTGTGTAGATGTTATACACAAGATGCGCTGTCGGCCTATTTTGGTATTGTTTTGCTGTTTCTCTTTTGTCTTTTGTTTCCCAGTAATGGTAAGATCAATATGTAAGGTACCATTTACTTACCTACACATTGCCTATAAGCTTTAACTAAGTAATTACTATTACATTTAAGAACAATCTTCTTCCATCCCATTGCTAATTTTGTATTATTTGTTTATTAATGCGTTTACCAATGTATTTATTTAAATTAAACATTTTAAACGGTTTCAAACGCGAAATATTAAGCAGCGATGGACAAGAAGGGTCATCCGTATTGAAAATAAATTTCAAATATTTCGCATTTTATACCGTGGAAAATGTTTTATTTAAACGTGTAGGTACTACTCGCATAAAGTACGGGTCCGATTCGCTCTTGACCGTTTTTTGGTCTCATTGGTCAGTCAATACCCTACAAGTTAATTGCCTTTAAAGCCCATGAGTCCATCTGTGTATCCAATTGAAGTGGCGATAAGGATCAACTAACTATCTAGGGAGATATAACTGGCCTATGGTCAGGGGAAAATTTGGTCTTAATTGTCAGAATCCGTAAGTGTTTCTTTTATTTTGTTGTTTTAATAAATATAATAGCACCACCTAAACCAATTTTTCCTCTATACCCAAAAAACACCTGTAGTTTACGCGAGTAGTACCTACACGTTTACCAAAAAAAAAAGGAAAAAAATAAAAAAATTTTTTTTAAATTGGGGGGCCCCTTCTTGTCCATCGCTGC